ACACACACACACACACACACACACACACACACACACACATCATTTCTTTCTGAGAGCCCAGAGGGGATGGATGCAGATGAATCACAGACTTTGGTCAGATGACTGGCGTAGAAAACTGGCCTTAGAAGGTACTGCTATGTGTTGAAGAGGTTAGTCACAGTGGTTTGGAGAGTGGGAGAGGGGTATGGAGACTTCCCAAAGGCTCCTTCCATGTTCCTGAAGCTCCTCCCGTGTTCCTGTGCGCTCACCCCCTGGCTTTGCAATTCAGCCCCAACAGTCTTGCCTTTCTGTGCAGCCCTAACCTGTGGACATGACTGAATGCCACTTCTGGGGCCACCTTCTCTTCTGTCTCCTTCTTCTTCTTGCTGAGTGTCTTGTCCACATCCACAGCTTACAAGCCTCTTTGCATTGACAACTTCTTGTCTTTGTTTCTGGCCCAGACCTCTGTGATGTGTACAAACTAGCTTTCCAAGTACCCACTAGAGGCCTGGGGTATTATAGATCAGTGGTAGAGTGCTTGCCTAGCATACACAAGGCTCCGGGCTCCATCCCCAGCACCCTACAAAGGAAACCAAACACCAATTTATCATGTGCCCTTGCTGACCACAGGATGTCTGAAGCAGCACACATACTCTGCTTCCCCTTTGCCACTCTTGCTCCTCAGCCCTCCCCCAAGTCTTCTTCCCATTGTCTCATCTGAGAGAAAGGCCCTGCCTACGTGTTTGCACAGACACCCCAGGATCCATCTACCCTCAGCTGCCTCTCCTCACCCTCCTACTCCAAAAGAAGTCACGTGGAATCAGCCTTCCACTGGCCTTCCACACACCTCAATCCCCCGCCACAGTCCTCCTCTGGTCCTTGCCACAGGGGCCTTCACTTACCTCTTCTTTCAGCTATACATTTTCTTGGAAGGAGTAGGGGCGGGTAGAGGAGTTGAGACAGAGTGTCACTATGTATATGGGCTTAACTGTCTTCACACATAATTCAGGTTTTTTCATAAACCCCACTTCCTCGGCGAGGTCCCTCCTTCCTGCAAATTGTTTTCACAGTCATTGACAACATACACAGTATTGCTGTTGAGGGTTTTCTAAGCATTTCTGCTTAGAACTTACCCCTTATAACAACCCTTGGAAGTAGAAATAATAATTATCTCTATTTTGCAGATAAAAAAACTAAAACACAGAGAATTTTAGAACTTTCCTAGATCAGTTGGTTAATGAGAAGCAAAGCTGAGATGTAAACTCATGTAATGTGACTCCAGTGTAACTTTCAAACACCGTACCATTCCACAAGAAAATGCTATCCTTGGGGTCTGGAGAGATGGCTCAGTGGTTAAGAGCACTGCTCTTGCAGAGGACCTGGGTTCAATTCCCAGCACCCACATGGCAGCTACAAACCATCCTTAACTCCAGTTCCAGGGAAATCCGAAGCCCTCTTCTGACCTCCGAGGTACTGCACGACACAGGTGCACTCACATCCATGCAGACAATACACTCACACACATAAAATAAAAATAATAATAAATAAAATAAAATACTAAAAAAATAAAAGAAAATGCTATCCTTTTCCTTCCTGCCCCTTAGTATTATATAGATTTTTTTTTCAGCATATACCCCTCTTATTAGATTTGTATGCTCTACAGGAGTACAGATCATTTGATCTCTAATAGTGTATATTTAATAAATATTTTCCCAATGCTTGAATGTAGATTGATCTCCCGCTTCTTCACACACTATGTTCGATCTGTCACTTGGTCCTGTGTGCTTCTTCCTAGAGTGTGCAATAGTTACTTTTTTGTTGCTCTGACCAAGTATCTGACAAGTAGTAGCAATTTAAATTGGAAAGGTTTATTCTGTTTTCCAGTTCAGGGGACACAGTCCATCACGGCAGAGAAAGTATGGGGGCAGAACCTTGTTCTCAGCAGGTCTGGAAACAGAGAGAGAATGTAGGTAGGACTTTGTTAGGTTTTTCAGTCTGAGTATGCTGCCCATATTCATAGTGGAACTCCCCTCAGCTAAACCTCTCTTAGAAATACCCTCACAGACACGCCCACAAGTGTGTCTCTGAGGTGATTCCAAAATCCCACCACTACTAAAGATTAACTATAATATGTGCTTATGTGGGTTCTGAACTTGGGTGGAATTCTAGAGAATTGTGGAGCAAAAGCTGATGAAGCAAGCTGTCAGCAGATTCTCAACCAGCCCATGAACTAAGGACAGCTGCCTCAAATACTCCTGGACCACACTGGTGCTTACCTTGCCAGCATCCCCTTAACAAACACAGCAGCCCACATGAAGTTCTCCCCAAGTCCATCGTTTGGTTGTAACAAACCCTGGTCACCCTCCTGTATCAAACCAGTCAGCACCTATTTATTCCACCTTGGAGCAAGTCAGAACTCTGCTGGGGAGAAGAGATGTTGCAAGCTTGCTTCTCCATCTTTGGGTGTCCTGGGTGGACTCTTTTCTCCCCAACAGGGTTCTGTTTGGGGTTCCCTTACCAAATGTCAAGGTAATTCCTCACTTTCTGATTAATGCAGTACCTCCTTCTTGGTATCCCAGTCCTCTCCTCAGTGCCTAAAAATTCCCTTTGAGTCTAAGTCTCAGCTTAGAGGGTACTTTGGGGTTAGAGGCCCCTCCTCCGTGCTCCCATGGGCTGTCTGTTCTGGACAAGACGTACCAGCCTTTTGAACTGTGGTTGTCTGAGGCAGGACTAATACTTCAGTGAGTCGGTCTCTCCCACCTGCACGAGAGATTTGAGATCAACTTCCCATTTTATCTTTACAAGCCCCAGCCTAGCTGGGTGCTAGCCTAGGATAAGGGGGCTCAATAAGGACAACTCACCCTTGGTTCATGAGTGCTACAAACTGAAATAAATGAGAATAGCTAGAAGCCAGGTAGAGTGAGCAATGTGGATCACAGAGTTCAGAGATGAACAACTGCAGGTACCACAGAATTGGGAAGGCAAACTCCATCAAGGAATAAACCTGAAGAATTAAGGGGCTGGAGAGATGGCTCAGCGGTTAAGAGCACTGATTGCTCTAGGAGATGGACCTGGGTTCAATTCCCAGTACCCACACGGCGGTTGATTACCATCTATAACTCCATTTCAGGGGGATCCGACACCTTCTTCTGACCTCTGCGGGCATTGAAAGACATGGGTGCACTTACACACATGCAGCCATTACACATAAAATAAAAGTAATAATAAATAGAACATTTTTTTTAAAAGCCTGAAATTAAGGTTAGGGAGCCTTTCTCCTCCTGGCCAGGGGAGTACCATATGTGACCACGCCTCCATCCTGGGCCACGCCCGTGGACAAAGGGGGAATCTTTGGCCAGCCCTGTCTGGGCCTGATCTCTGCGGTGACGAGACTACACTTCCCAGCGTGCTGAGCGGCCGGGCGACCGAGGAGCCGGAAGTGGGGCCTGTGAGGTCCTAGGGCGCTACGGAAGCGGCCTGAGGGGGCCGAGGGGGCGTGAACGGTTGTAGGCCGGCCGGTGGTCGCTGGCATGGCCGAGGCCAGGAAGCGGCGAGAGCTGCTACCCCTGATCTACCAGCATCTGCTACAGGCGGGCTACGTCCGCGCGGCGCGGGAGGTGAAGGAGCAGAGCGGTCAGGTGAGCCTAGGCGGGCCGCGTGCAAGATCTGGAGGGTAGCGGTCCGTGCCCCCTGCCCGGGGGACCCGTTCTGGGGCGCAGTGTGGTGCAGGAGGGGCCACGGGTGCTGGATGAGCGGCACACACTGCCTTAGCCCTCTGCGACTTCCAGCCACCCCCCCCACCTTCCGGGCCTCAGTTTCCCTTTGGTACAGTGGGCGGGCGGGGATGTCTGGTTCTACGCGCCCGGCTTTGTAATTCCCGCGCCCTTACCTCCACCCCTTTCCCGGCCGCGGCAGTTTTAAGTTTCCCCAGTCTCCGGCCACGTGGCTCTGCGCAGCACCCCTGGGGCATCCAACTGGCCCTCGGTCTCGGTTGGATTGCCACGGACCCAGCTCGGAACGTGGAGAGAAAGGCCCCCTTAGTTAATCTGGAACGCAGGCCCCTGGCAGTCTCTGGTTATGACAGGACAACTATAGGACATGAGCTCCTGGTGCAATCATTTCAAACTTAGTTCATTCATTTGGCAACTTTAAATCTGGCCCTGCGGTGTTGATGATGTAATAAGGAACACTCGTCCACAGCTCCCTCGTCCTGTCGAATCATGTAGTAGGAGAGATAAAGAATCCCAAAAGTGACTGTACAATTAAGACTATATAGCCGGATGTTGTGACCCAGACCTTAACTCCCAGCACTCTGGAGGCAGAGGTGGTAGCTCTCTGTGAATTCAAGGGCAGCTGCGTCTAGATAGTGAGTTCCATGTCTATATGGTGAAGATCCTCTCCCAGAGAGAAGAAACACTCTAGAACATGGGTGTCAGAATGCCCTTACCTGGAATATCCAGGACTGCTTCCCCGAGAAAGTAGTGGTAGATGAGAAATGAAGGGAGATGGGTATTCAGAGGTACAAATGCCTTGAGGTTGGAATAAGGCTGTATGCTGGAGTCTCCAGAAAGTTCATTGTGGATGAAGTTTGAAATGGAGGCCTGTGGAGTCTCCCAGAGAGATGGAGGCAGATGCTGGCTGGAATGGTCCACACATAGTTCTTCCCCCAAACAACAGTTATCAACCAATAGTGAGATGCATATTGACCTGATTAGTTATTACCACTTTGGCTACAGTGAAAACTCAAAGGATGATGGGCCCTAAGATGTTATTGATGATTTCCCTGATGTTATCGATGATTTTCCTAACCCTCCCTAGAGTGCTCTTTGCCACTTCAGTGATAAAACTTAACAGAGGGGGAGCAGGAGATAGTGCTTGGCTTCATAGGGAGGGGGCTGAGCAAGTGTCCTGCTCTCACAGACTATGTTGTAATAGAAGCAGACACATATAAATAAGTGGTGGAATCTGGGCGGGGTGGTGCACACCTTTAATCCCAGCACTTGGGAGGCAGAGGCAGGTGGATCTCTGTGAGTTCAAGGCCAGCATGATCTACATAGTGAATTCCAAGATCTCTGAGGCTACAGAGAGACCCTGTCTGGAAAAGACCAAAATAATAATAATAAAGCTCATAGACAGGTTAGTATATCCAGTTTATGGTAGGTGCTGACTCACAATTAAGGGAGGCAAGGGGGATAAGGAATGTAAAGGTCTTGTTGCAACTAGGGTAGTCAGGGGAAACCTCATGAAGAAAGTGATAGTGGAATAGAGACCAGAGGAAATGAGGAGATGAGCTATGTGACTAGCAAAGGAGAGCATTTCAATAACAATGGCAAAATCCTGTGGGGAACTGGTGGCCTGACATATTTGATCACGGTGAGACTACCACTGTGCCTGGGATAGAGCAGAATGAAACTGACTGGCATAGACTGTCCTCTTCAGACCTGTGAGCAACCCTTTCCGTGTTACATTTACTGTGCTGTGAAGAAGGTTGCTGCAGTTTGCAGAGTTAAAGGGATCAGCACAGCCAGTAAACAGGAGCTCTCCCTGACTCTATGCCTCTCTGTTCAGGTACTGGCATGCTTTTGTCTCCACATGGCTCGTTGGACTCCATTGGAGCGCCTGACTCATTGGGTTCTTGATATTCATACAGTGTGTCCCTCAGCACCCCCAGGCCTGGATTCCACCTGTCTTCCTCTTCTTTAATCAAGAGCCCAGCATTCTTTGGGCTCAGTATCTTTCCAGATAGCCAGTGGACTACAGTCAGGTCACCAGCCTCCAAGGTCTAAGCTGTGGTTTATGTTTTGGAGAGATTGACCAGCAGGTCATTGAAAACCTAAGAGGTTAGGTAGAGAAAGTTCTGTCTCGTGACCTCTAAGTATGAACAGTACCTCTTACCAACAGGTTGTATTAAAGGTTTTGTAGCTGAAACTCTATGCTTTTCTTGCCTCTGAATGGTTTTGAATGGTGCTGGTAAAGCAAAACAGATTTCAGAGCAACAGACTCTTCTGAATACCTGTTCAAATCCTAAAGTCAGGGAAGATTAGGCCAAAGGAGGATACTGACCGGGCTAGGTATTAATTGCAGCTCTCTCTTTAATTTTCTGCAGAAGAGTTTTCCAACTCAACCTGTTACCCTTCTGGATATCTACACACACTGGCAACAGTAAGTCTGGTGAAGCGGAAGGGGTGGAACAGGGCCACCCTAACTATGCATCTTGGAATAAGCTAGGATACTAGTTTGGCCTAAGATCTATTCTTATAGCCCACTGTGAACCTGCTTGAGTCCTCAGAAGCAGGTGACATCACCTGTATGGGTATTTCTGTATGTCTGTCTTATCATGGGAAGAGACAATGAGAGCTGGATCTCTTAGGAACTAAAGCTTCTTACCACTAGCTACTCTAACATTTACTACTTACTTATGGAGTGCCAAATCCTGCTCTAAGAATGGAGCTACTGTTAGAAATGAGACAGATAATTTCTTTCCTGTAGCTGACCTTGTAGTCAAGGAGGCAGACATGAGTCAAAGGATGGTAAAGTGCTATTCGGGGTAAGGATTAGTGAAGGTAGGAGCCTGAGAGTGTGACAGACAGCCTTATTTGGGGGATAGGCGCGTCCTTGAGATGCCCTGATAAGAGAAATTAGACAGCCCACATAGGGGAGCTAGCATGGTGTACCTGACAGTGAGAACTGCTGGTGTTGAGACATAAGGCTGAAGGCTACTACAGGTGGGGCCAGGCAATTGGCAGGGCCCACCTCTATAGGCCTGACATCCATGGTGAGAAATTGGATCTTTACCCACAAGTGGTAGGAACCACAGAAGGGTGAGCTCACTGTGCCAAGATGAGACCCACTGGGCTGTGGACATCATATTCTGGGCCAGAGCTGCTGTGCTGTAGAGCAAGAAGGAACACAAGAGGTAGGCAGGGGGTTTTCCAAGAGTGTAAAGGTCTGAAGCAGGGTTTGTGGATGGGTTGGAGAAGGGTGTGGTCAACTCTTTGAATTGTGTACCGGGTGGACCCATGCCTGGGGCTGGAAGGTAACACTGTTTGGAGGGAAAGATTCCAGGGATATGTTAAGTTTGTAACATCTGTGAAACATATAAGATACTTTCCAGGGAGGGAAATAACCCAATTGCTGGAAGAGGATGGAAGATTGGTTGTGCTTTCTCTGTGGGCCACCCTGACCATGGCTGACTGGGACGCAAGGGGTCTGTCTGAAGGGCCTGTAGACATACCCTATAAGGAATGGTAATATATTTGGTGGGGTGAGGACCCCATGTCTACAGAACCTTGAGAGATGTGGCGTGTTATGAGAGAGCCTGGGAGACAGCAGTGGCCCTGTGTGTGCTGCTGCTTTAGGAAGATAAGTTTTAGCTTCTAGGCATAAGCACTAGATCATCTGAGCTACTCAAAAATGAGGTAGGTAATAAACATCCTGTTCTCATAGCTCTGCAAGCCAAGGGATGCCAGGGAGAGCTAAGGCCACTGAATGCCCATCCTCTATTCTTAGCCCTCCCGCTGCTTGGCAAACTCAGAACACAGGGACTACTTCTTGCCCTCTTGGCCTTGCCCGGGTGTGTGGGTGTTAACTAATTCTACATCCTTCCCCAACAAACCACATCTGAGCTGTGCCACACCCTTCCTGCTGCTGGTCCCCCCTGTGAGTGAGGGGTACAGATCAGACAAGGATCACCTACCAAGCCACCGTAGCCCAGCCACTAACTGGATGACTGCCCTGAATCTCTTCATCTGTAAAGTGAACATTATCTCATTGCACTGTAAAGATCAAACACATTAATCTATTTAGCAAAGTCCTAAAATTGATCGTCAGAACCACTCCCCTCCCCGGTGCTATCCTTGGGCACTGTTGATAAAATAGGGAGCAAACAAGGAAAAGGGAAAAATCCCTGTTCTTGTGAAATTTATATTCTGTTGGAGGGAAGAGGGGACAAATTGATATATGTGATAAATGAAGTCTCTTGTAACAGCTTGCCAAACTATAACAAAGCAGTATCAAACCTAGCTGAAAAGCATGGAACATCACAGTAACTTCTTGCCAGTGGGAAGGTGGGGGTCAAAGGAGGTGCCTTGAAAGTTAGGGTACTCTGCCACCTGAAGACTTTCATTACAATTCCCCAGGCTTCCTCCCCAGCCTGCGGACAGGCCCAGAGTGGATCCTTTCTCCAAGGTATGCAGGTACTGGGGGACTGTGGTGAGCTGCCAGCCCTTCTCTCCCCTGGGGCTTTTTTGTGTAGTGGGGGACTCTGTCCGGAAGGCAGTCACATAACAGGAGATAGAGAAAAGTGCTCAGAAGGAAATGAAACTGGATGACAGGGCAGAGTGCCTTGGGGAGGGGACATTATCAGAGGTGCTCTAGGGAGGCAGACTCAGAGCTCAGGAAAGAAAGAACAAGGTCCCCAGTACAAGAAGAAGACATAGTTCTAGAGGTAGAAGAACCTAGGGGGTTCTGCACAGTACCTCTGGGGGGCTGGCACCTGTCGCCTAGTGGTTGTGAGCTGTTATTCTGTAGCATAATTGTCTCTTGTGGTACTGACACTTGTTAACACACTTTAGGAAGTGAGTGAAGATGCAGGACACAATCATTTCCATGCTGTGTCAGTGTTTAAACTCACTTTATGAACATTTCCTTTGGGGGCTGAGTGGATGAGGAGTCTGTCTTCCCTAATGTCATGGACACGCCCTATCTCCCCTGTCTCCTGCAGGTCCTCAGAGCTGGGCCAGAAGCAGAAAGCAGAGAATGATGCTGCTCTGCAAGCCAAGAAGTCCCGAGTGTCAGACCCCATTAGCAGCTCAGAGAGCTCTGAGGAAGAAGAGGAAGCAGAGGCGGAAACTGCCAAAGCCAGTAAGAGCCCCGCATGCTGGGTGCCATGAGAGGCTGGGACCTGCTCCACAGCAGTCTCCTCTCGGTCGTCCTTGAGTGTGAGCCCAGGAAAGATAGGGCCTTTTGGAGGGAGTTTGGGAGGGTACCGTGGAGTTGTTTGAGCCCTTCCTTTGTGGCAGATGTTTTGTCCCCAAGCTCATTGAGGATGTAAGGATGACTAGAAACCCCTCGTAGACATGCAGTGGACCCAGCGTCTGTGTTTCCACAGTTCCTGGGTCCTTCTGCTGAGAGGGGAAGACCACGTTTGTGTAATTGCCAGGGTACTTCAGAAGGTGCTGGTGGTCCCCTCTTCTGAGTGGCCTTGGAGCTGCTCAGCTCTGTGAGTGCTCTGGCAGAGTGGCCTAGCTAGTGGCAGCTCGAAGCTCTTCTTTCCCATCAGCAGCCATAACACTATGGAGCAATTGCTGTATCTCACAGGCATCATATTGCTTATGTAGACGACAGTTTCTTGATTTTTAAGTAGATTTTCTGATTATAAAAGAAATGCAGGATTCATTATAAAGTATTCATTACAGAATATTTGAAAATTGTTTTGAAAGAAGATGGGGAAAAAATCACCCATACTCTTGCCACCTACAGCTCAGCAATCTAGTCATTCATTCATTTTTCCTGAGCCTGCTTTAAAAATGTTTAAGATGCCAGGTGTGGTGGTGCATGCCTTTAGTCTCAGCACTGGGGAGGCAGAGGCAGGTGGATCTCTGTGAGATCAAGGCCAGCTGAGGCTACAGAGAGACCCTGTCTCAAAAAGACCGAAAAAAAAAAAAGTTTGAGATCATACTGGATGATTAATTTGTATCTTAATCGTCTTTTAAGTTATAAATGTAAATTGGGCCCACTTGGAAATGCATAGGGAAGAAGAATGCGAGGTTTCCCCTTCTCATCCCTGTCACTCCCTCCGTGTGTCTCTTGGTGAGTGGCCCGTAAACCTACCCCTGCTGCTTCCAGTCAGACAGGTGTCCACCTGTGTGCATGTGGACAGATCCAGACTGCTTTCAGCAGAAGCAACAAATGTTTATACTATTTTTCATTTATTCTTTGACAATTTCATATGTGTGTACAGTGTATCTTGATCATATCCATTCCCAATCTTTCCTCTCCTACTGCCCCAGACACCCCTGAACATACCCCCTCCCACCTTCATATCTTCTCTGTGCTTTTCACTCTTTCTGCAGTGCTCCTGAGCCTTGTGGGGGTTGATGTAGATATCCCATTCCTGAGCTCAACAGTTAATTATTCTCAGCACTTTGATCAGCTATGAGTCTGTGCATTGCCGCCCACTGCAAAAGGCATTTTCTCTGGCCAAGGCAGAAAACATCACTAATCTATGAGTACAAACACAAATATTTAGAAAGCAGTTTGACAACATGTCTTTGTAGCAAAGCAACAGTAGTAGGTTTCTCTCTAGAAGCTATGACCTCCCCAGCCAGTAATTAATTTTTTAAGCTATGGCAGTGAGACTTATAATCAACTTTTTTTTTTAAGATTTGTCATTTTAGCTGGCCGTGGTGGTGCACACCTTTTTTTTTTTTTTTTTTTTTTTTTTTTTTTTTAAAAAAAAATGTATATGTGTGTATTGTCTGCATGTATGGAAGTGTGCCCATGTCATGCAATGTCCGTGGAGGTCAGAAGAGGGCATCAGATCACCTAGAACTGGAGTTAGAGACAGTTGTTAGCTGCCATGTGGGTGCTGGGATCTTAACCCAGGTCTTCTGCAAGAACATTCAAGTGTTCTTAACCACTGAGCCATCTCTCCAGCCCCAAGATTTGTCACTTTAGCTGGGTGTGGTGGAGCACACCTTTGATCCCAGTGCTTGGGAGGCAGAGGCAGGCAGATCTCTGTGAGTTCAAAGCCAGCCTGGTCTACATAGTGAGTTCCAGGGATACAGGGAAACCCTGTCTCAAAAAGACCCCCCCCCAAAAAATTTTTTTTTTGTCATTTTTTTGTTTTGTTTTGTTTTCCTTAGATTATTCCTGAGGTAGCGTCTGGCTATATAGCCACAATTGCCCTCAAACTCACAAACCTCCTGCCTCAGCCTTCTGAGTTTTGGAATTATAGGCATGTGCCACCATGTCTACCTTAATTTCTTTTAAAAGTCCTCAGAGAAAGAGGTTGGAGTATTTGTGGGCAAGATGACAGGATGTCAGGCATTTTTTTTTCAAAATAATGTGTGATGGGTAAGGGGGGCGGTGATTGGCCACAAGTTGATAAAGGCTGGAGGTAGGTGTTTCAGCATGCTTCTTCTGGTCTTCTGGATGTGTTTATGTGTGTGTTTATTTTTATTTTATGTGTATGAGTGTCTTGCCTGCCTATGTCTGCAGTACCCACGGAGGTCAGAAGAGGGCGTTGGATCCCCTGGACCTGGAGTTACAGATAGTGGCTAGCCGTCGTGTGGGTGCTGAGAACCAAACCCGGGTCCTCTGCAAGAGCAGCCAGTGCTCTTAACCACTGAACCTGCTCTTCAGCTCCATTTCCTGTATATATATAAAACTTTCCATAAGTACAGAAAGAAGGAGCATTAATACCAGGAAATTAAAAGATCATGCCGTTTATTCTAGCCGCTGTTTAACAACAGTTTAGAGCTCTTTCCCTCATGTCTGAGTTCTAAGCAACCATTCTCTTAAAGCACTGAGTCTGTAAATCTCAACATTTAACTGGGCAGGAGCCAGCATTATCTCCACTAAGAAACCACTTGATATCCATGCAGTTTCCTCTGTGGTCTGTCACTGGCTGCCTGACCACTGCCCTGCCTCCTAGCGACTGTCAAGGCTATGGCTGGCAGCCTATGCAAAGGATACCTGCCAGAGTCAGGCATGTTTTATGGTAGTAGGGGGTAGAAAGGTAAGCCAGTCCTTTCCCTCTGGTGGCCTCAGCATCTCATGCCATGGAGCAGTTGGGAGTCCCTTATAGATGCAGATATGGTAGGCATGCCGATGCAACACAGAGCTTTTCCCATGATTCTGCACTGGCCTCAGGTCCTCATGCTGGCACCAAGTTGCCAGTATCAGCTGGACTATTGGATAGGGTGAAACTTGTCTGCCATTTTTAGATGGGAAAAGTCCTCCATCTGACTCACCCAAGTGGATATTTGTTCCTTGTAGCCCCAAGACCAACACCTGCCAACTCCTCAGCTGTGGCTGCAGATTTGCCATCAAGCATGAAGGAAAAGGCCCAGGTGAGTGGGGCTGCTTTCTAAGTTATTTCCTGTGGGAGCTTTTCCCTGTAGGAGTGGTCTCCTATGTCAGGATAGGGTCAAAGACTCAACCAATCTCTGCTCATGTCTCCTGATAAGTCCCTTCATTTCTCTGGGCCTCATATTCCTTTTCTGTAAGACGGGAGTAATATCTATCTTAGGGCATAAGGCACACAGGTGGTCCCTTCCTCTTTCCTCCTACACTCACCTGTTTACTGAGTAGCTTTTTTTTTACTATTTTTATTCTATGTGTATGAGTGTATTGCCTGCATGTGTGTGAGTACACCCGTGTAATGTAATGCCACGGAGGTCAGAGGAGGGCGTTGGATTCCTCTGGAACTGGAGTTAAGGACAGTTCGTAGCCACCATATGGGTGCTGGGAATTGAACTCCAGGTCCTCTGCAAGAGCAATCAGTGCTCTTAACTGCTGAGCCATCTCTCCAGCTCCCTGAGTAGCTTTTGACCAGTAATAGGCACTGCATGGGGGGGCTCATGAACAAGACTTCTGTGTTTGTGGACCTCTAAGAGCATTTTCTAAATCAGAAACTTTGAAAATGAATATTATTTGCCAGTAATACATAAAGCACTGTTAGTAGACATTAGGGATTATGTTTCAGAAACTGGAACAGAGCAATAATATGTAAAAGTGATGAAATAATGATGGTATCACAATGAACTGCTACTTACCATGTAACTACTGTGTCCCAAGAACAATAATGGGGCTCTCTTAATGCCTATGTGAAAGGCGTCTTAGCCCCACTGTACAGATGAGAAGACAAACCAGTTAACTGTAGACATGGTCGAGGATGACTGCCCTTCTTAGGTGAGGGGAGGCCGTGTGCAAACTCACAAACTTTAGAAGTGGCTGTGTTGGGCCCACACGTGAAGGGCTGTGCTCCTCATGTGTTCTGCCATGGCAAATTGTTCTTCCCTCTTGTTCTCTATAGGCAAAGACCAAGAAAGCCAGCCAAATGGTGAACTCTGTGTTGTGTCCTGCCTCAGGAAAGTCAGCAGTCCACCTGCTCTCTGGAAAATCACCCAAGAAGTTAGCAGAGCCCTCAGCAAACACTGTTTTGGTCTCAGAAACTGAGGAGGAGGGCAGCGTCCAAGCCCTCGGAGCCACTGCAAACCCTGGTAAAATGCCTCCACCTCTGGGAACCAGGCTCCCAGAGATTGGGGTAACGAAGGCAGGCCCAGATACTGCTTTGTTACACTCTGAGACATTCTGAACTCCAGGTTTGTCTCCATGACAGCCAGAGTCCTACATCATAGCCATTTTTCCTTTTTCTTTTCTTTTTTTAAATTATTTTTATTATTTTTATTTTTGTGTGTATGCATGTATTGCCTGCATGTAGGTAAGTGCACCACTGTCGTGCAGTGTCCGTGGAGGACAGAAGAGGCTGTTGAATCCCCTGGAACTAGAGTTAAGGATAATTGTTTGCTACCATGTGGGTGCTGGGATTTGAACCCCGGTCTTCTACAAGAACAATCAGTGTTCTTAACCTCTGAGCCATCGCTCCAGCCCGCTATTTTTTTGTCTTTTTGAGACAGGGTTTCCCTGTAGCCCCAGCCAGCCTGGAACTTGCTATATAGACCAGGCTGGCCTTGAACTCAGAGATCTACCTGTCTCTGCCTCCCAAGTGCTGGGACTAAAGGTGTGCACCCATTTTCCCTTTTTCTTGACCTCCTGGATCAGCTGCAGGGACAAAACACTGGGGCTTTTCAGAGAGAGGCATTTGAGCAACTGAGAAGTGAGTCTAGTGTTTGCTGGCTTATCTCTGCTGGATTACAGGAACCACTGTGACCACTTGGAGAATAAGTGGAAGGGTGTGACTCTGTCTCCATTTCTAAAGTAGAATGGGCATTTGCCCAGCCTGCCTCCCTGGATGTGATGATGAATGGTGATTTGATTAACTAACTGGTGCTGGCCTTATTAAGGCCTCAGAGAGATACAAGAGAATGGATAGTAAGGGGCTTTGGGACAGGTATCTTACCCTGTATGCATGAGGATTGAGTGATAAGGGCCTGGGAGTGACTAGCAGCTGGTGTGGAGGAAGCTCTGGGGAGGTCAGGTAAGTGGGAAAAGGATCCTCAGTCCCCTGTGTCCACCCTCAGGGATGCTGTCAGCAGGCCAGGTCAGCAGCTCCAGTGAGGACACCTCCAGCTCAAGTGATGAGACAGATGTTGAGGTAATTTCACCCATCCTGAGGAGTCAGTTGCCTTCTCACAGCCTCTGAGCCTCCCAGGAGCTTGGCTGGTGCTTAAATCAGCTCAGCAGCCATGTCAGTAGCTGGGAAGGTTGCAGCCGTAGCTGGGCAATGGGGGAGGAAAGAGCTCAGTGCTGCTCAGGGCACAGTGAGCTGAGCATCAGGTCCAACCTAATGGAAGAGATGCCTTCCTAGAAGATAAGCACAGAATGCTAGGAGAGGAAGAGACAGGAGCAGAGGCCCTAAGTAGGAGTGCAGCTGTGACATGTGGGTAGAGTTAAGGCTGCCTAGAGGATTCTGGCTCCGCTGGTGAATGCCAGCCTGGGTACTGGGCCAGAATTGGATAGGACCCTTGGGCTGCTACCTTTTCTCCTCTCTGAACTTTGAACACAGGTCATTCCTTATGTGCTCACTAAACTCCAGGTCTTGGAAACACATAGTGAGCTGGTGGGCAGGGCTTATGCTTCCATGGGGACCCTCGGGCATTTAACTACAGTGGGATGATCACTGCAAAGGAAAACAGTAAGCTCTAGGGGACAGAACAGGAACCTGACACCTAATGAGCAAGTGTGGCAGAAGGCACAGACAGTTGAAGGAATTCATTCTTCTAAAGCACATGGACCTATAGTTTCCTGTACAAGGGGAAATTACTGCAAGACGAGGCTGCACATAGCAAAGTCTTAGTCTGCTGCCCAATCTGGAGGGCCACCATAGGTGTTTGGGGTTATTGTTGGGGCTGAGGGCCATCGCAGGGTTTCAGGCACAGGTAGAGTGGCCTGCAGGATTCGTGTTTTGAAAAGATGGCTGCTGTGGCCTGGACTGGAGGAAGGTATGGAGTAGAAGCAGTGAGACCCACTGGGGACTGTCAGATAACAGTGGCAGAAGGTGGCAGTGGCAGGAACCAAGATATTCAGCTAGAAAGATGTCCGACGGGTATGTCCAGCCTGCAGCCAACACAAAGATGTAAATTTACTTAAAACATGAGATTGTTTGTTTTGTAATTCAGCAGATTACAGTGTCATGTCACAGTGTCAAAAGGTTGGACACAATTTAGAAGGACAACAGCAAGAGTCAGAGATAGACTGATACTGTGCCCAGGGTGCTGTCCCAAGCCTGGCCACAGGCTGCTCCTCACCTTCCTTCTCACTGTTGGGCCCTGGGTATAGGAAGACATAGGATGCCTCCGGCTCCCTTCACTCTGGGCCTTGCCCAAGGAAGGGAAACTCCTAGAAAGCCAGCACCTAGGCATGTAACCTTGGTAGACCAGAAACCAGAGTGGAGCTCCAACTGCAATGAGGAGGAGTGAAGAACAGTGTAGACACCCCAGGGTCAGGTGGCCATGAGGGTACATCAGTAGGGTGTGGGGATTTAGAACCGTACGGAGGTATCCCAGAAAGAAGCTCATGCCAGTGGAAGACAGGTGTGCAGATGCCAGGCTTCTGTCCCAGATGGCCACTACAGTTAGATAGATGCTTTTTAGTTTGCGGGGCAGACAAAATGTGCTCTAACTGAAAGGGGCCCCTCTCAAGATGGACCCTGTGTGTGCCAGTGGGGAGATAAGATGGTCACTGAGTTCTGCTGCAAAGCCAGGCAGCTGGGGATCTCATAAGCCTTTGAGCTTCCCTTGAAACTGTGCCTTTCTGGAAAATGGGTGTAAAGATTTTTGTCTGCCTCTGGGAGATTGAAAATCGGGTGCTATTAGGAGAGGGCTTGATGCCCCTTCAACACCAAAGCGGGGATGGCTGTTCCTTTCCTTCCTCTGTCTTCGGCTTCCAGGTAAAACCCTCAATAAAACCAGCCCACACCAAAGCCTTGCCCACCCCTGCCAAGGAGCATCCAGCAGTCCCAGGCCCTGGCAAGTTGGGAGATGTGACACCCCAACTCCGAGGAGGCACCCTGACTGCAGCAGGGAGGACTGCAGACCAAGAAGAGGAGTCTGAGAGCAGTGAAGATGACTCTGAGAGTGAAGACGAGGCCCCTGCTGGGGTACCTACCCAGGTGAGCACAGGGGAGGGCTAGCCCTTGGTCCATTCCTTGTGGACGCTTAGGCTGGCAGAGTCACTGACTAACAAGCACCCTTGCGAGAAAAAAACCATCCTGGAGTTTGTGGAGAGGGAGAAAAGTGAGAGTAAGTTGAAGAGCAATGACAACTGGCCAGAGGACTTTAGCACCTATGGAAATGACCCTCAAGCCCACACAGCAGCCAGAATGGCTGGTTCCTAGAGGGCAGGTCCTGCATCCACTCTGGCAATCACTCTGCTTGCCTTGGTTTCCCTATGCAGCAAATACACTGCTATCCTCAACACAGCTAGCCCTGCTGGGAAGAGACTTGTCAAGTTTTCTTATTTTGAGACCGCCTCACTGTGTATGTAGATCGGCTAGCCACAAAATCATGACCTTCCTGCTTCAGCTTCCCAGCTTCTGGGATTATAGGCATGTGCTGCCATGCTATGCCTAGTGAGGCTAGAGAAGTTTTAAATGTTTGGTTCTTTGGCTTTTCAGTCCAAACCAGGCCCTAAGTAGGCAGCACCATGTCAGCTAAAGAGAATCCATTCCCTTCTTGTCTTGGGGCCATTCCCTTGGAGTGTGGTTTGGCTAGCCATCTCCAGGCCTTGGACACATCCCGGGACAAGCAAGAAGGATTGGAAAGCAAGGAAGAGGAAGTGAAGGGAACCTACACCCAGGAATTGGAGCAGGATAGGGGTTGGGGTACACCCATTGCAGTTGTTAATGAATGTTAAAAAAAGAGGGAAGTAGGCTGACAACATGAAGTGACCAGGGAGAACCCAGGAGACATCTAACTAAAGACCTAAAGTTGGAAAGCAGGAGAGCCAAGTAGGCATTTGGGAAGGTCATTTCCTGGCAACAAACATAGGGTGCTGAGATTCTGAGGTGGGTTACAAATGTTCAGACTCCACCTACTGGGTTGTGATTTGTTTGTTTATTTTGAGACAGGCTCTCCCTGTAGCCTCAGCTAGCCTGGAATTTGCTATGTAAACCAGACGGGCCTCTGCCTTCTTATTGCTGGGATTAAAGGTTTATACCACCACGACTGAATGCGTTGTGAGCTTTTATCTTAAAAGAAAAAAAATCTGTATTTCCCGTGCTGGTTCAAATCTGAAAAGAGACCAGCTGAATGTAGCCCATGTGGAGTAACTGCCCTTTCACATGGAAGGTTTTAGAAGATCAAAGCCACTTAACTTCTAGGAAGATTGGTCCTGAGTAGGCAAGGCCTTCATGGGAAGACAGGGCCTGTGGCCACCCTGCTAAAGACCTAGGTGGTAGCAAGCCTTTGAGAACAATAGGAAGAATGACTAAAGAGGCCAGTGTGGGTCCTTGCCCAAGGAGGTGGTGGACAGGCCTTCTTGGGTCCTGCTGCTGTCTATAATGGCCTACTTCATCCTTTCCCATGTTCAGACTGTCACTCATCAGCAATCTTTGCATGCTCCTTTCCTCCCCTGAGTCCTGTCAGCTGTGCACTGAGTTGGCTAGACCCTCAGGTCAGTGCCTGTACCTGGCTTCCTTGTGCCCATAGAGCAGGGCTGTTCTGGCTAAGGATTTAACCATTTATGTGCTGGAACTGTCCAGGGCCAGAGTGAGAACCACCTTAAGGACTCGCTGTCACTCAGGGCTGAGGAAGTGGTGGCCAGGTGAGATGGAGTAAGGATCGGGAAACATTGGTGCTAAGAAAGTGTAGAGCTGGTCAGTTCCAAGAGACCAGGAGGCTGGGTCACTGGAGTACCAGTGAAGGTAGGGAAACTGGGTGTCTCTAGAGTCTCATGTGGGCCTCTCGGCTTTTTTCCCGAGGGCATCACCTAAGGGCCTTAGGAAGAAGAATGAACTGTTCTTTCTCTTTCACTGGGTAAAAGTCCCTGAAAAAATTCTCCAGGTCAGAGCTGCCTCAATCTCTGCCAAGGTGATACCTGGGAAAGGGAATATGTCAACACCCGTCAGCAAGCCTGGGCCCATAGCCACCCAGGCCAAGGCAGGGAGGCCAGAGCAGGATGTGGAGAGCAGCAGTGAGGATGATTCTGACAGTGAGGAGGAGGTGACAACTACTTTGACCACTTCTCAGGTGAGGCCTGGGGAGGGAGCACCACAGCCTAGATCCCAAGAAGTCCTCTGGACCTGTCTTCCTCTCAGCTGGACCCCAACCCCTTCCCCTCTCACTGTCAGGTCTTCTCTGCACACAGCCATCTTGTTCACTCCTTACTGTTTCCTCACTCCAGGCAAGGCCCTTGGGAAAGACCCCTCAGGTCAAAGGTGCCTTAGCCCCTGCCAAGCAGTCCTCCCAGAAAGGGGCTCTTCCAACCATCCCTGGGAAGACAGGGCCTGCAGCAGCCCAGACCAAGAGGCCTGAGGACTCAGACAGCAGCAGTGAGGAGTCGGACAGTGACAACAGGAAGACACCAGCAGCTGCAACCCAAACCCCCAGCCCCGCCCAGGTGAGGCCAGGTGATCTTGTGTCCTTCTTAGAAAGGCCTGCTGCAGACTCTGCCTCCTTACCCCCAATCAGGTCATTTTTCCCTGATCGTGCCCATTGTGACTCACAGGTGAAACCCTTAGGGAAAACCCCCCAGGTTAGACCTGCCTCCACTGTAGGCCTGGGGTCATCGGGAAAAGGTACCCACATGGCCCCTGCTGGCAAGGCAGGCTCAGCAGCTCCCTGGGCCCAGGTGGGTAAGTTAGAAGAGAACTTGGAGAGCAGCAGTGAGGAAGAGGAGGAATCAGGCAATGAGGGGGCTGTGACCCCAGCCCAGGTGAGCCCTTTCTTACAAGGCTCCCCATTCAGCACTGAAGACTACATGGCTTCTCAGCCCCTGACCCTTCACTCCAGTTCTCCTATCTAGGTCTCTTGTCATACATGCATCCCTGTGGAGTGCCCCACTGATCTCATCTATCTTTCTCCAGGCAAAGCCTATGGAAAAGATTCTCCCAGTCAGACCTGCCTCAGGTCCTAGCAAGGAGCCCTTGGGGAAAGCAGCTGCCCCTATACTCCCTCACAAGGTGGAACCTGTGGCCACCCAGGTCAAGGCTGAAAGGTCCAAGGAAGACTCAGAGAGCACTGAGGAGTCAACAGACAGTGAGGAGGAGACAGCACCAGCAGCCACTGCTCCAGCTCAGGTAGGGTCTCAGAACAGAAGCAGCCTGGCCTGACACCACCTTCAATGGATACTCCTCCTCAGAATTATATGGGTTGTAGCTGGTAGGGAAGGCCAGTAGGGGGCTGTACCACAGTACAGATGCAGGGTCTGAATTCAGGGGCCTCCTCTAGCCCTTGTCTGCATTTTCTCCACAGACCAAATCAATTCTAGAAAAGAAGACGAAGACTTCCCCTAGGAAGCGTACTCCCACAGCCCCTGCATCTACTGTGGTCGCCCCTGTGCAAGTGGGTACTCCAGCCCCTTGGAAAGCAAGAACAGCACCTTCTCAAGCCAGCCTGTCATCCCCAGCTTTGGCTAGGGGCATCCAGAGGCCAGAGGTAGACTCTTCAAGTGAGTCTTTAAGCGAGTCAGAGTCAGAAGCAGCTGTTCCTGCCTCTGTGGGGGCACAGGTAAGGCCTGCATTTGCCCAGTGGACTCTTTGCTCGCCCCCCATGAGGTTCTCCAGTCCCCTCTGAACTCCTTCTTCCTCTTGTCATTCTAGGGGAAACCTATGGGGAAAGGTCCCCAAGGGAGAGCTGCCTTGGCACAAGGGATAACTCCTGTACCCCCTGGGAGGTCAGGGCCTGAAGTTTCCCAGGTCAGAGCTAAGGCTCAGGAAAACTCCCAGAGCAGTGAGGAGGAATCCAGCAGTGAGGAGGAGGTCGAGACCCCAGTGCAGGTGAGGTAGGGAGGAACCAGCCTGAGCCAGGCCAGGACTCAGGATAGCTCTTCTGGGACTGATCTTGGCCCCAAAGCACAGAATCCTCAGGACAACCTCAACTGGGTCTTGTTCTTAATTGCCTTCTATCTCCTGAGCCCCCTGGCCCTATGGGCTTCCACAGAATTGGATGCATCCCACATGCTCTGCCTGCCGCTGTCCTGGCAGGGGATCTGTGACCATGGCCTTCGCAAAGGTCCCACCTGGAGCAGGATATACTCATGTGCACAAATTGTTCCAGCAGAATAAAGTAGGGCTGTGGTTAGGGGTGTGCACTGGAGCTAGCCAAACAGGACACCTTGGGATTTTAGAAGGAATGGCATCTAAGTGAGGGACTGAAAATTCCCTGGTAGAGGGTTGAGTGTTCAGGCAAAGCAGCAGCCTGTGCAAAGGCATGGGAACTGGCTTGGGTGGCACCACAGGCAGAGCAACACAGAGGTCACAAGCCACACTACTTGGGTTTGAATCCAGCTCCATCTCCTGGTGAATGGTGTGATCCCTGGAGCCTTGGCTACCCTCCTGTCCAGATATCAGCCTCTGCAGATGTGAATGAGAGTGGGTAGGGCCTCACCTACATACCAACCAGAGACCTGCCTCGTTGGTGGTGGGCCAGGCTGCTGGGTGGCAGAATTGAGAACTAGACCTTCCAGCCCAGGAGAGCAGAAAATGAAGATGGCTTGCTGCCTACACTCGGCCACCCCTGTGTATTATTTTTAATTGCCGCTCTTGTTTTCAGTAACCACTTAGAATTAGTCATCTTTTCACCCTGTATCTGAGCATGTGTTTCTCTGGATTTTTGTGATGTTCTCTTCTTGTGCTGGATTTGTGGCACTGAGGCCCCAGGGTTGTTTGGTTTTCTCTTGGGTTTTCTACTGTTTCCACGGCACCTTATAAGGCATTCGGCAACCTCCTTCCCCACTTCTGGCTACAGACACATTCTAGACCAGAGCCTCCCAGGACCCTATTGTTTAGATCACTTAAGTACTTGTCTTCCCACCTCAGCTTCCCACTCTGCCATAAGGGGGCTGTTTTATTTTTTACTCTCTAAATCATAGGATATTTGGAAGTGGGTTGTTTAATTTCCAAACATCTGAGATACCCGACTGTCTTTCTGTGGATTTCTGATTTTATCCAGCTGTACTTGTTATATGGATTCTGGAGATCCAAATTTGGGTCCTCCTACTTGTACAGCAAGAACTTTACCGGTGGAGCCATCTCCCCCAGCCTCTGCTCTGTGTGTGTCTGTATGTGTGCCTGTGTCTGTGTGTGTGTGATGTCTTTTGTGTCCTTGCATCTATGAAAGACACTACTCCCGCCTAAGGGTCAAGGTGCTCTACTGATGAGATTCCAACCTTGTCACAATCTGCACTGTAGGGACCTTCAAATCTTGACTCTTGTCATACACATAAGGGGTATGGGGTGATGGAGCATCTTCGGACACTGGCCAAATGACATCTGAGTGAGTCAGGGCCTGAGATGTTGCTGGGTACCTTTCTGTGTTTCACACTAATAGCTGCTCTCAGACTCTATCAAGACTCTGTTGGGGAAACATAACTCAATGGCAGAATACTTGCCTATCTGGCACAAAGTCCTGTATTCCATCCTAGCACAGTAAAAAAGCAAGTTTCGCCAAGCATGGTATCTTTAATCCCAGCACTTGGGAAGCAGAAGCAGGTGGATCTTTGTGGGATCAAGGCCAGCCTGGTCTACATAGTGAGTTCCAGGCCAGCTGGGGCTATAGGGAGACCCTGACTCAAAAATAGCCAACAAAAAGAATTAAAAAAAAAGTTTCTTTTCTGAAGGATCTCACTCTGAAATTTCTCCTTTGTCACCCTGATCCCTGTAGATCTGAATTTGGGTATTTGGGGAATTCTCTAGATATCAGTTAAGGTGAGGTTAAGTAGAGGAAACTTCATCAGTGTGCTTCTATCTTATTAGCTTCAGGTCTTAACTCCCACCTCACAGACAAAGATTGATGCTTTGAGTTCCAACTCCGTTTGCTACCTTTTTTTTTTTTTTTTTTTTTTTTTTTTTTGTGAGATGGTTTTCCTGTAGCCACAGCTAGCCTAGAACTGGCTATGTAGACCATGCTGGCTTCTGCCTCCTGACTGCTGAGATTAAAGGCATGCAGTGCACTACCACACCCTGCAGATGCTATTTTATGATATTCAACTTCCATTCTACAAGCAGAACTTAATGATATGCTACCTAGTTGAAAGGAAGGCTAGAAAACACTTATTCTGGGTATTCTTGTGCTTAGCTAACATTACAATAATGAGCTTGAGTGTTTACTAATGTGTCAAGCACGGAATCTCCTATTTAATCTTTATTGAAACCCTGTACATGGGCTTTGTTCTTAACCTCATTTTATAGAGGTGGAAACAGGCCCAACAAGAGCCTGTTCACATGGCTGTCACAGGGAAGATCCAGCATCAGCTGGACTGCAACAGCATTCTTCACTTACTGCTCTATTGCAGGTTACCTGTCCCTTTCTCATTCCCTTCCTTCCTTATAGGCCAAGCCCTTGGGGAAACTTCCTCAGGCCAAGGCCAGCCCATCTCCCACCAAGGTTTCTTCAGTCAAAGAACCAACTTCTACGCCTGGAAAAGCTGCCGGTGTAGTTGCACCAGCCAAACAGGGGACCCTATCCAAGGCAAGTGGGACCAGAAGCCACAAGACAAGTCGGGATGGGGTACAAAAGGGGGTTCAGCAGTGATCCAGCCTGGGCCGGGCTCTGCACAAGCAGGGCACCCTCGTATAACCACACCCTAGTGGAAGGTTAAGCCACAAGGATCTACCTGGGTCCCCTTCCTCCTCCAATGCCGCTGCCACCTCAATTCAGGGAAAGCCACCTGTGAGAGCCCCACAGAGCAGTGCTATCTCTGCAAGGAACCAGGCATCTGTACCACCTGTGGGAAAAACAGGGGCTGCAGCAGCCCCAGCACAGAAGGGATCCCTGGCTGGAACAGAGAAGGACTCAGAAAGCAGCAGCGAAGAGTCTGACAGTGAAGAAGAGATGCCAGCCCAGGTACCCAGGTGGAGCTGGGGTTGGGGCACTATTTTGGCCCAGCCTATAGGACACAGCCTTGTATATCCCAGAATCTCCCTGGCTCCTGCACACATCCCTCCAGCTCTCTCCCTTTGTTATTTCTCATTCTAGGCAAAGCCCGTGGTGAAGACCTCTCAGATCAGAGCTGCTTCAGCCCCTGCCAAGGAGTCCCCCCAGAAAGGAGCCCATCTGGGACCCTCCAGGAAGAAAGGGTCAGCTGCCCAGGCCCAGACAAGGAAGCCAGAGGACTCAGAGAGCAGCAGTGAGGAATCTGATAGTGACAGAGAGATGCCAACAGCCATTACCCCAGCCCGGGTAAGCCTGCCAGGCCTATAAGCCAATGCCACCCACTCCTTAGAACATTAGCTCAAACAGGTAGGAAGGAGGACCAGGGAGAAGCTTTGCCTCAAAGATCCCTTGTCCCCTAGTGCCCTCCATGTCTCCTAGGTAAAATGTCTTGCAAGCTTCAAACCAAGGCCACCCCATTTCAGGGCATCCTAGGCACTCCCATAGCTAGCAGGACCTCCACAGCATAGGGCCCCAGCAACCCCATACAGACTCAGGTGGGTCCTGCCAAAGGTATATGAAACCACCCTGGAAAGCTATCCCTGTCAGAGTTAAAAGAAGCCTGAACTGTGGTACAAATCCATCTCCAAGGAGGGCCCATCCAGCTCAGAGTGAAGCCTGGGCCCAGGGTATGGGAGAGAAGAGAATAGTTCAGGGCAGCAGACTCTAGTTTGGACTCAGGCATTGATGGAAATGGTTGACATGGCCTGGAGGAATTGATGGGTGATGGCAACTGATGATGCGTTTTAGGAAGGTGGTAGCCAAGATCGTGAGTGGGGGGTGATCCCTACCACTTTCAAGTAATCATGACCTTTTAGAAATGTGCCCTCCTTACAGCTGGATCTTCTATTTATTTTTAACATTTATTTGTTTATTTTATGCCACAGTGTGGGGGTGGAGTGGGGGCAGCTGGGTTCCAGGAATCAAACTCAGGTCCTCAGGCTTGGCAGCAAGTGTCTTTACCTGCTGAGCCATCTTTCCAGCCCTGGATCTTTCATTTCTTCATTTAATATTAGCCAAAAGGCTGAGAAGTGATAAGTCTTTCATTTTTTAAGTCAGAGTCTCCATCCCTCAAAGATCTGGGTGTTTTGGTTTTGGGTTTTTGTTTTTTTTTCATAAATAAGACAAACACCATGAATGAATTTAGGGCTAACGATGAAGCTCAGTGATACAGCACTTATCTAACATGTGCTACAAAGAAAACAACCTGGGGTTAAATATTCCCCAGCCTTTGCCTTTGGTATACAAGCCAATAGCAATTAGGAATGGAAGACATTGGCCCTGCTCTCAGTCTGTAGGGTGAGACAACACTGGATCGTCCCATAACTTTTAGGTAGTATTTTGTCTAACATAACTGAGATCAGGTCTCCAAGAGCCAGAAGAGAGGTAATTGAGCAGAAGTTAAAGGGAGACCAGCTGGTCACTGAGCACAGAGGCTGAGACAGATGCCTCACCCAGCAGTGTGCCACCCAGGGATAGCAACAAGGTGAGTGAACAGGGTGTGCTGCTGGGTGCTTGCAGTTGGCAGCACTCAGAGGCCCAACTCCTGGACTGAGCCACAGACACCAGCCTATACAGTTTTTTGGTTCTTAGAGTACTGTCAGTCAGGATATTTCCAGCTATAGGGAAAAAAATCACAATTCAATAGAGCTGAGCCACCCAAGGCACTGATTGTCCTGAAGATCAGAGTCCCAGGATTAGGTTGCTTCAACAACCCCTGGTAACCCAGATTTCTTTCATCTCTTGGTCCTACCAGCCTCATGGTACAGCAGGGCTGCAGTCTCCTATAGAGCTGGGAACTTGAGAGTCTGGGGGTGTAGCTCATTTGGTAGAATGCTTGTTTAACATGCAAGAAGCCTTGGGTTTAATCCCTAACACTGTATAAAACCAGGCCTAGTGGTACAGGCCTGTAATCTCAACACTTACAGAAATTGAAACAGAAGGATCAGAAGGTCAAGATCATCCTCAGCACATGTAGGTAGTTCAAGGCCAGCCTGAGATACATGAGAATCTGTCTGAAAAGAGAAAAAAAGTAGCCAACTTGGTGGCCCTTAGTCCCAGAGGCACATGGACCTCTATGAGTTCTAGGCCAACCAAAACTGTATAGTAAGACCCTGTCTAAAAGAAAATTTTAAAGTGGAACTTTGTTAACAAACCCCTTGTATCTCCATCTCTCCTTTTCTAGACTTCCACCTCTCTCTGCCATTGATGGGGAGCCTTTAGCTCCCATGATTGGCTGCAGAGGAGGTGAGGGATACTCTTGCTAGAGCAAGCAGTAGAGACAATCAGAAACAAGTTGAGGTTCTATGAACAAGGTGTGAGGGTGGTGGTGTTGGGGAGGCAGCCAAAAGTATGCATTGTTCCCCTGTTTAAAAAGTAGGAGATGCGGAGCTGGAGGATTGGCTTAGCAGTTAAGAGTGCTTGCTGCTCTTCCAACAGATCCGAGTTCAGTTCCTGGTACCTGTCTGGCGGCTCGCAAACACCTAACACTCCAGGGCTCTGAGACCTTCTTAGCCCCCTTGGACACCTGCACATACATGGTATACGTTCACACAGACATACACACACATAAATAAAAATAGATCTTTTTTGGAAAATTGAGAAATGCCATGCACATGTCGAGCTCTTCTGGCTTCTGAGAAACTGGCAGCCGGGTCCCTCTTGCTGAGTGAGGGAAGGTGTGGCCCCATCTATCCTGGGAGGCACATAGTTGAGCCTTCTCCAAGCTGGCATCACCATCAGCTCTTCTCACTGCTCACCAAGTCCTCTGGCCTTGGACCACAGGGCCTGTGAAGCCCACCCTTGAAAGACTAATGCAGAAAGGCCACACTGCCTCCTTGGCGAACCAGAGCATGAGGAGCATTGCTCATGGCCTCGTTTCCCCATCTGGGCCCTTTCCCCATCACATGTTTATTCAGGCCTTGTCCTCTCTAAAGGATGGTAAAGCTGCTAGAAGCAAAGCCCCTGCCCCAGCACCCCCAGAGAAGAACAAAGGAGCCTTGGAAAGCAGTGGTGAGGAGCTGCCATCTGGCCAGGTAGGCTGTGACTTTTGTGAAGGCTCTGCTGGCTAAGCCAGGCTATCTCTCTAAGAAGAGGGCAGATCTCCATAGGAAAGGTCTTGCCACATGCAAGCAGCACTTCACAGTCTCTGAGCTCTTTTCTCTTTTCTAACATTTCTCTGGATATGGACAGGCTACAGAACGTGGTAGGACTCAGGATTCAGCTGACTACTGCAGGTCTAAGCCTGGCCCCACACCCTCACCTCCACATCCAGAATCCTCTTAGGGATCAAATGTTTGTGCTATAAAATGGGGTCAGTAATGGTGCCAGTATACCAATATAGGTGCTCCAAGTCATTGGCCCAGTCCCCTGCCTCAACAGGTATTTTAGTTTTTCTGTTGCTATGATAAAATACTGACCAAAAGCAGCTAGGGAAAGAAAGGGTTTACTTCAGTTTACAGCTCTTAGGTCGCAGTCCATCACAGAGGGAAATCATGGCAGGAAACTCAAGGCAGGAGCTGAAGCAAAGACCATGGAAGAATGCTGCTTACTAATTTACTCCCCTGGCTTGCTCAGCTACTTTTCTGGGTTTTTGTTGTTGTTGTTGTTTTTGAGACAGGATCGTCCGGTAGCCCCAGCTGGCCTGGAACTCACTATGTTGATGGGACTGCCCCAATCTCCCAGAGAGCCACCTGCCTTTGCTTCCTGAGTGCTGGGATTGAGGCATATACCACACCCAGCTCAACTGCTTTTCTAAAACAGCCCAGGCCCAGCTACCCAGGGATGGTACCACCTTCAGTGGGCTGGGATCCCCTAGATCAATTAGCAATCAAGAAAATACCCAACAGACATGCCCACAGGCCAGTCTGAGGGAGGAAGTTCCTCAATTGAGGTTCCTTCAGGTGACTAGTTTGTGTCAAGTTAACAAAACTAGCAGCACAGTGGGAAAGTCTAGTTACTGTTAGGAGGGCAGATAGTACGGCTTATTTGGCAGATCAGAGATTAAGGCTCTTCATCTCATGAAGAGGCTTTGAGACCACAGAGTACAGCTCCCAGGCCCCCATGGACTATTGGGGATCTGGAGCCTCCTCTGCAAGGCTTGTTGGGATCTGTGGCCTTCATCCCAGACCAGACCTGAGCACCTACAGCATCCTCTCATTTTCTGCTGTTCCCTGGGTCCTGCCTGGCCTTGTCCCTGAGGGTGGGACTTAGTCTATCTTCGCTGGCCTCAAAGGCTCATGTATCTCACCAGCTAGTACACATTCCATGTGAACCCAGGCCTTTCTAACAGCGCTGACTTAGCCCCACACTCACAGAGATTGGCCAGGCTCAGCAGCCTTTCTGAAGCACCTCATTCTCAAAAGACAGCACAGCTGGGAGGGAAGGGCCGTCTTGACTCTACGGGGGCGGGCTAATGCAATGTAAATGAGCATTGTGCTGAAAATGAACTGTTAAATTGGTACATTAGTCCCAAAGATTCTGGAGGCCTTTTTTTTTTTTTTTTTTTTTTTTTAAGGGGAGGAGGGTGGTAGCAGTTTATGATTCCCAGGACAGTTCAGGGAAGGGGTACAGCCTGGGAACCTGCAACTTCACCTCACCTGGGGAGTCACTCACTGTGATTACTGTCATTATTAGGCATTTGGGGAGCACTTCTCTGTGGACAACTTGAAATGCTCCAGTTTCAGCCTTGTGCTGTTTTTCTTACTGCATGTCAGTGAGGAAAAGGATTGGGTGCTGGGGTAGTTGTCCAGCCAGGCTGAAAAGTCTGATGCCAGGCTGGGACTAAATTTATTAGAAAGAAAATCAGCACATGAGGTGATCCAGCTATTAAGTAGCCCTGTATATTATGCATCATAAAATAGTTTTAACCCACCACTTAAATTATTTTAAAGGTCACTTCTCATCTATCACTTTGCCAAAACAAAGGCCTATGCCCTGGCCTTACTGAATCAGAGAACAGAGAACTAGTAAAAATCTAAATGGAGGTGTTAAATTAGGGCCAGCATGATTGGATGTAGAAGGAGCACCTATCTGGTCCCTAGGGAATTAATTTATACTCCTGGGTCTAGAACCAATTTTTTTTTTTTTTTTTTTTTTTTTTTTTTTTTAAGTTTGTGTTTTTTTTTTGTCTTTTTGAAGCAGGGTCTCTCTGTAGCCCCAGCTGGCCTGGAACTCCCTATGTAGACCGGGCTGGCCTTGAACTCAGAGATCCTCCTGCCTCTGCCTCCCCAGTACTGGGACTACAGGCATGCGCCACCACGCCTGCCCAGCTTAGAACCAATTTTAATCACCCTGAGTGAGGTTGCTTGCCCTCTCTCAGCTTCAACCTGCTTAACTCCTGGGATGAGACTAGGTTTATAAACTTTAAGGCTCTTGGCCACATCCCCCAAAGAATGGAATTTCTGAGTCTCCTGGTGTGGGACTGGCCTAGGATCTGTTAACCAGCCCCTAGGTAATTTTCTTGTTTTGTTCTTGTGGTACTGAGGATGAAACCTCGAAATGCTGAGGACATACCCTGCTGCTGAGCTATACCTCCAGTCCCACTAAGTTTTGAGAAAGGTTCTTGAAGGAATGATGTCTTGGTGACTGAGTGCGTTGCTACATGAGGGCACAGCTGGGATGAACCTAGCTGAGATACTGCCCAAAGTGCTCCCGGCCTTGTTCTGCAGGCATCATTCCTGCAAATGGGAAGGGAGTTCCAGATCCTCTCTGGGCTCTCAGTACCTACCACATACAGGAAGTGTTGATGGATCCAGTGAAGTGTTCCTCTACTCCCACAGTACAGTTCCTCTTATTAAAGTGCTCTCCTCGTGTGCTGGGCTTTGCCCTTTCCTCAAAGTGAGCACACCCAGATGGGGGATATTAGCAATTAATTTGGCAGGTAGGCAACTGAGGCTTTAAGAAGTTCAGGAGCTTGACCAAAAAGGGCAGTCATGGCAGAGTGGGTAGCAGGTCTCTTCCACATCTGGGGGCCGTGGGACCTACCTCTGAAACTGCAGACATGATCAGTGGTCCCTGTGCAGTTGCCCTCCACATCCAGGCTCCTGCACCACTTTCCTCTCCTGCCCCACAGCCAGAATGGAGTGGTGTGGGCAGGTGGGACTGGAGGAGGCTGTGCTGCCGAGCTGCTTTTAACATCCCAAGACGCTATTGTTTCCCTCAGTGGGTTCGCTGCCTCTCTTGGTCCCCAACAATCTGTTCCTGTCTTCTCATGTATATATAGATCCCCCTCCCTCTGCTGCAAGCCTTCTCCCACTTCCCATCCTTCTCCTTTTCATCACGTGGGAAGGAAGGCTCTGGAAGTGGCAGATCAGAGCGGCCGTGGGGGAGGCTGTTTGGCAGGGGTAGGAAGGGCCAGAGCCCAGCAGAGCATGTATGCTCGGCAGGCTGTGCTCACTTCCTACTTCACCTCTTGCTTACAGACCCCCAGGTGGTAGGGACTAGATGAGGCCCAGGAGGTGGGCCAGCAGGGTGGTGTGATGGACAGAGACCTGATATCCATCTGTGGGCCTCAGGCAGCCCTCTGCATCTCTCCCGGCCAGAGTATAATAAGGCTTGAATCAGCACTGGCATTTGGAGAGTAGAAAATGGAGTTCCTAGTTCCCTGGCTCATGGTGGTGTGCCCTCATCATTTGGGGGCTTTGGAAGGAAATAGACCTAGTGTGCCCTGGTTTTTACAGTGGCACCTTTGGGGAGCTACAGTTCACTGCCTGACTGACCTGCCCAATACTAGGGGGCTGCTTTTTCTTTACTGTCTTAGTGGGAAGTGCAAAGCAGACCCAGGGTGAAATAATGAAGGCAGGTATGGTAGCACATGTCTGTAATCCCAGTATTCAGAGAAGTGAGAGTTTGAGGACAGCCTGGGACTCGGTCTCAGAATTTTAAAAAACCCATAAAGTAAAATCATGAGCCCTATACAACACCCTCAGCCTCGGCAGTCCTGGTCCTGAGCAGGCTGGCTTCATAACACAACATCATTTATGTCCCAGCACCCAGCCTTGCTTTGAAGCTGGTCCTGGGCCTCTCATCTCATCCACCATGATAGCAGTGTGCAGCTCAACATTACAAGGATTTTCTTTTTACTTTCTTTTTCCCTCTAAGTACAGCTGCAAGGCAGGATCCCTGTTTCTCCAAGTGTCTGATTAATGGAATTTTTTTTATATTTGGCATGTTTAAATAAGAGTCCAAATACGGGCTGCAATAGTACACCAGATTACTGAACCCTCCCTTCTTAATCTTGCTTTTCCCAACTTATCTACCCCATTTTCTCAGTTTATATGTTAAAGAAACAAAATATAGTGGCCCATACTGGGTACTACGTGCTGGGCCACATCTCAGGGAGGCTGTATCAGGGTCTCTGGGAAGGTGAGAACTAACACAAAGAAGTCCTATCTTACGGCCAGGCTACTATGGGAAATGCTTCTTAGAGCGCTCCACTTAGCAGGTAGCCATCTGACGTCACCAGAAGAGGCTAAATTAGACATTCCAGTCCTCACCTTGCTTCCTAGCTTCCTGCCCACCCCTCCCCGCAGCCCCTTCTCTTTTCCTCTCTGAACTTGTAGCTTTCTTGTCTGTTCAGTGGAATAGACACTGAGAAATACTGTGAGGATCGGGTGGGCTCTTAGGAGCTGTCAAGTGCTGCACTGAGTGTTGGCCATGTAGGGTGGGAGTGGGCTGGGAATGCCCAAGCTCTTTGAACCTCTTACTTTGTAAATCCCTCAACCATCTTCCCCTTCCCCTGGCCAAGCCGTTAATCACTGGGGGGGGTGTGTTTTGTTTTTCTTTTTCAAGGTGATTAAATCCCCTCTGATTTTTGTCGACCCTAATCGTAGTCCAGCTGGCCCAGCTGGCCTGGCTGCTACCCCTGCACGAACCCAGGCTATGAGCGCCCTGAGGAAGGCCCGGGCCTCAGACAGCACTGTCCAGAGCTCCTCCTCTGAAAGCGAGGATGAGGATGTGATCCCTGCTACACAATCCTCCATCCCTGGTGAGTGCAGCTGTATGTGTGGTTCTGCTCACCTTGCTGCCTGCAAGACAGGGAAGGGCTGCTGCCATGCCTTTCTACATTGAGGCCCACGAAGCCAGATACTGGCCAAGTGACCCAGCAAAGGCATTGGTCAGGAGGGCTTGAGGCTAGGGCTGAGCCCTGCACTGTTACTTTGATGACGGTGGCTTAGGTATCCAGTTCTGAAAGAATCATGTCCAAAGCTTCTGTGTGCCTGCTCCAAGCCCAAAACCTAAGCTCCAGGGACCAGTCTAAGGTAGAGCTCTGTTAACAGCTGACTGGCTGTCAAGCAGGCTTTCAGTGTGGTAGTGGGCATCTGTCCCTGGAAGCGTATAAAAAGGAAATAGCAAACATTTTACACTTGTCCTCTTCCTCAAAGCCTAAAGTGGACCTGTGTGTGTGGTGAGGCCCTATGTATGAAGCTGTCATCTTCAATGGTGTATCACAATACTGGCATTTCTGTCATTAAATATGGACAGCATGATTCCTGTTGGCTGCCAAATAGCGTTATTTTATTCAACCAGCACATACTAGGGATGTAGAGGGTCTTGTTAGACTTTGATAAGCAGGTCTCCCTCAGCACCCATATAACTGAGCCTGGTAGCTCTCTCACTGATTCCTATCTGTGAGGAGTTTCTGGCACCATAAGTTCAGTGTGTTGCTTAGGAGTAGCAGCCTGCTTCAGAGGAGAGAGATGAGGAGGCCTGTGGTCATTGCCACAGCAGCCATTGGATGGCCCTGAGTCTTGTCAAGTGGAATGATGACAGCTGCTATCTTGAAGCCTGGGGAAAAGAATATACCCTGTGTGATCCCTGAGCCCAGCACCAGGTCATGGGAAAGCTGGTAATCGGGTAATGCCATGTTGGGGAGCTGTGGACTTCTGTGCCCTGACATGCCCCTTCTCTTCCATTTCAGCCATTAGAGCCAATGTGATAACTGTGCCTGCTGCCCCATCAAGGACAGTCCCCCAAGCCAGCAGGAGTAAACAGTCTGTTCAGATGTCAAAAGGCAAAAAACCCAAGGCAGCAGCCACTCAGGTACTGGTGGGTAAGAGAGGGCAGTCTGGCTGGAGAGACAGCTCAGCAGTTAAGAGCACTGGCTGCTCTGCAGAGAACCTAGGTTTGGTTCTCAGCACTCACATGACAGCTAACAACTATTTGTAACTCCAGTTCCAAGGGGATCTGATGCCCTCTTCTGGCCTCCATGGGCATTGCACAACATGAGTGCATTTACACATATGCAGTCAGAGCACTCATACACATAAAATAAAAAATAAATTTTTGAAACTTTTTTTAAAAGAAGGGCTGTGGTAAGGGCCGTTGGCCTCTGTCCTTCTGCCTTGGCCTATGCCAGTGGGCTGCATGGCAGTGGCTGGTTCCCAGCGTCCTGGCACTGGCATTCAGGCCACAGCCCTGGAGCTAGCCTCCAAATTCCTCTTGGTGTTTATTGTCAGAAAGAGGAGGCTGGGAAGCTGCAGGCAAGTACAGGTTGGGGAGGCTCAATGCTTTCTCTGAGCTCTCCCTGTCTGCTAGCAGGATAAGAAGTAGGAGTGCCCAGAGGGACTACTTGGCTAGAGACACATCCCAGTGAAGGCACAGATTGCAACAAACAGCTCCCACAGAATCTGAGCTTCCCTCCCCAGGCTGTGCTTAAAAAACAAGGAGATAACTCATTACCAAAGCCTGGCATCCATCTTCCTTCCCTGATTACCCCTCAGTCCCCCGACTTTAGCCTTTTGGCCCTTCTTCCCTGAACCCCGCTACTTAACCCAGTCATGGCATTTCTGGCCAGGCATGGCATAGGTGGTGTTCTGAGAACCCATAGGTCTCAGGACTCCCTCTCGCTGACACTGAAAGTTCTTCTTTTAAAAGCCAATAAGGGGCCGGGCGTGGTGGTACACGCCTTTAATCCGGCAGGCGGATCTCTGTGAATTCGAGGTCAGCCTGGTCTCCATGGTGAATCCAGGACAGCTGGGGCTACAGCTGTCTCAAAAAGACCCCCCCCCCAAAAAAAAAGCCAATAAGGAGACTAGGGCAATGGCTTAGTAGGTAAAACACTTGGTGTGCATCCATGAGGACCTGAGTTCATTCCCCAGCACTCACAGAACATAGCCAAGTCTGGTGGCAGGAGTTTGTAATCCCAGTGCTAAAGAGGTAGAGATAGGCCAATCTTCAGGATTTACTGGTTAGACAGCCTGGCCTAATTGGTGAGCCCCAGGTCCCCAATGAGAGATCCTATCTCAAAAAACAAGATGGATGGCTTCTGGGAAATGACCCCCAAGGTTCATTTCTGGCTTCTACACACAGGCACACATGAACACATACACACATGCACTCATGCATGCAAAGCCAGTGAGGTCCATCCAGTACTGCAGGACCCAACCTTCAAGTACTGTGAGTTAGGGGAGCTATGGAGACTAGATTCACCCCACTCTGCTCCCATACATGTGACTGGGTTCTCTTTCTGCCCTGCTTCAGTGAGGGCCCAACATGGTCCTATGTCCTGGTACCAGCCCTTACCTTTACCTCCCTGGACCTCAGTGGCCTGGTATATTAGACATGTGGTACCCACCTGAGAGTTGTGGGAAGGATCATGTGAAGCTGTATGTGGTGTCCCTGCATGGGGCCTAGCCCTGTTGTGCTCAGCCAGCACAAGTTCCCCCTCACCTTAACTTCTATTCTTTCTTCAACTAGGTTGACAGTGCCATGGGAACACTCCCTGTGACACCTCCCCAGAGCACCCCTATCCAGTCTAGAGCAACCAACAAGCTCAAAAATCCCAAACTTCCTGACAAGCAGCAGGCTCCTGCCAGCCACCCCAAAGCCCCTAGGAGCTCAGATGACAGCGAGGACAGCAGTGACACCTCTTCAGGGAGCGAGGAGGATCCCAAGGGACCCCAGCTGACCAAGTCAGCTCCCAGGCCAGGTGAGGGTTCCAGTGGGGAGCGTAGGGGCTGAGACACTGCTTAGTAGAGCTGTAGGCACTAGCTGGCCTTATCACCGCACCCTGGGCCTGTTTACTCATTAGTACAATGCCTTGAGAAAGTCCCCACCTAATTTCAAGGACCTGGCTGCTGGCACTGGCAGCTTCTTGATGTCCACTTCCCTTTGTTGACTGCCCCAAGTCCCAGGACTATGTTTCCTTCCTGGGGAAAGCAGGGAAAGAGCCTCAGGACCAGAAAGGAAAGCAATAGGAGGCCTGGGCAGGAGGGTGAGGAATATGGAGAGACCAGGCCTTTAAGCCCTACCAAGGAGTCTGCCTGCCTGGTGAACAGAGTCCACAGGGACCCCACCTAACAGAAAACCTTTGATTCTGCAGTAGATCTAGCCCCCTCCCAGAAGGAGACTGTGGTAGAGGAAACCCCGGCAGAGTCCAGTGAGGATGAGGTGGTGGCCCCATCACAGGTAAGCCAGGGCAAGGGCTAAAGCTTGGAGCTGCACCTTTAGGCCTCATCTACCCCTCAGATCAGGCCTGGGTAAGATCTTGCCTGTGTCAACAGAATAGAGCCTTGCCTCCTACTTCAGGGCCTGTGGAAGGGATTCAGCTGGATTCTAAGCAGCACCTAGACTGAAACAGTCCTTAGCAGGTCTTAAAACTGTTCTTTCGATAGAGCAACACTAGTGATATTTCTTTTTATTTTATTTGTGGGGTGTGTGTGTGTGTGTGTGTGTTGTGTGATGTGTGTGAGACGGGTCAGAGGACAATTTGTGGGGTTGGTTTCCTCTGTACCTTTACATGGGTTCTAGGGATCAAAATTGGGTTTTAAGACTTGTGTAGAAAGTACCTTTTTACCCTCAGAGCCATCTTGCCAGCCCCAAGTGCTAGTGATTTTCTATAGTGGTAATATTGTATTAGCAAAATTAGAAATTTGTGTTTTAAGTGTGCCTTAAATGTACATTAATTGACATTGTTTAGGAGGCATACACCAAGGGTCTGTGTGCCCTATGGGTTCAGTGCCACCTATTCTGCCTGACGGGGCCATCCTGGTCTTAGGTCCCTGAGCTCATTTCCTGGTAGCAGGCCTCGTCGGGGGGTGGGGGGGTGTTACTCACAACCTCTTTTACACTGGGCTTCTTCAGTCTCTCTTCTCAGGTTATGTGACTCCTGGGTTGACCTTGGCCAATTCCCAGACTTCAAATGCCACTCTTAAGCCAGTCTCCAACCCTTTGGTTTCCTCTGTTCCACTCACCAAAAATGACCAAGATGGCAAGCAGAAAGCAAAATCCCAACCTGCAGCACACATCATGTCCCCTAAAACAGGTGAGTTGGAAGACAAGGCCATGCGTCCCTTCTTGCTCCTGATAGCAACAGTGCTGCCAGTGTTTTCCCCCTGGTCTCCCACATGCGAACCAGTAGTCCTCCATGGGAGCTGGAAGTGCTCCCCACAATGCAGCTAGGGCCTGGCCCAGGTTTCCAGTGCTGGGCAGCCTGGTAGCGGGTATGTCCATCTCTGGGGCTAGTGCAGCTGCAGGAATAGCGTACTAGAAGCAGCAGCTTCTTTGGGCTTATGGAGGAGACCTTGTCCCTCCAGCTTCCTACTGACTTTTCTTCCCAGCAAGTGTGCTAGGGTATTGGGTTTAGGGACTCAGAAAGACTCAAACAAAGCCAGCAGCCCTGTTTGAAGAATTCAGCACATGGAGGAGAACCCAGATGATGGATGGACTGGCCCCCGGGGCAGGTTTGACTCACTCTGCAACCTTGACAAGCCCCTGGAGAACTGGGCTAAAACATGCAAAGCAGGAATGATGCCTTCATGCATTGTCAAGGCACACAGAAAATTGTCACATGACATGGGGGGGACTCTCTCAGGATCTCTGCACACCCCCAGCCTTATATGACATGGAACACCCCGACACCTCAGCTCCTCAAGGTGAACAATCCAGGGCCTAAGCACTGAGTAGCATGTAGGAGTTCTGCTTCACAGAATGGGAGAGAGACCTTCCCTGGGAGTTTAGAGGTGGTGTTAGGGCCCAAGCTTTAGACTTCTACCTACAGTTTCCAAGTGGTGGGTTAGAGGCGGAGTCGTTCATTTTCTTCTCCAGTGTTCTTGTCTATATGAGAGGCGGGTGCGACAAGGAGACATTTAGAGGGGGCTGTGGATGCTTTTTTTTTTTTACACATGTAGTCAGCACACAATTATCAAAGGCAAGCAGAGGCGTGGAAAATTCTAAACAAAGGCCGCACCAGAAGTCACTCCGGCAGGCAGTAAACCTGCTTAGTAAGCTGCTGAGTGCATACACAGCATACCCAGAGATCTCCCAAACTGCCTGGAGCCCACTGTGTGTCCACGGATGTCAGTCTACAGGGCCTTCTCATAACTATAAATCTGTGGTTCATAGCAGAGGACAGCATTGCTTATCCAGCTTGTTTTACATTGGGAAACAGGTCCTGAGAGACTGGGACCTGGCTGGTAAAGGCAGACCTAGAACCTGGTTCACCTCCCAGCTCCACACTGCTGACTAGACAGTACTGTCTCCCACCTATTGGACTCTCATCTCATTAGGAGGCTTCAGACCATCATTGACATTCTGTGGTCTTACCCAAGGACATAGAACAAAGTGTGAGGAAGGCATGAGCTGAGGAGACTGAATGGGGCAGATTGACCCTGGACCTCACTTTCCCATTTGTGCAGTTAAAAGGAGGTGCATACTTCATGCACTCCGCCTCAGTTCTACTATACAGGATCTGGCCCCCATTTTGTCAGATCTGTGACCCAAGTATCTCCACAGGTAGAGAAGAAGCCTCTTCATGCACACCTCAGAAGCGCCGGAAGTCCAAGAAAGACACTGGCTTAGCAGCCTCAGCTGAGGCTCTGCAGAGCAGCATCACCCAGTGCCTTCTGAAGATGTCAGTGGACCAGCCCTGGCCACTGAGTAAGGCGCAGGTGCAGGCCTCTGTGGTGAAGGTCCTGACGGAGCTGCTAGAGCAGGAAAAGAAGAAGGCTACTAGTGCTATCAAGGAGAGCAGCAAGAAGGCCCAGGTGGCCCAGAAGCGGAAGCTGTCAGGGGACCAGCCAGGAGCTGGTGCTCCCAAGAGCAAGAAGAGGAAGCAGCTGGTGGCGGGGGAGGGAGGGGAAGGTGCTGCTTCCCCAGAAAAGGCCTCCAGGACTTCTAAGGGGAAATCAAAACAAGATGGAGCAAGAGGTGATAGCAAGGAAAAGAAGGAGAAGGGGTCTCCTGGCTCCCGAGGGGTCAAGGACAGGCCCAAAAGTGAGTCAAGGATGAAGGTTGAGGGTGGAGATCACAATGATCCAAAGAGCAAGAAAGAAAAGAAGAAATCTAATAAGAGTAAGTGATTTTGCTTCCCTGCGTATGCATTGAGAGTACAGGATTGTGGTGGCAGAGCCTCTGCAGGTGGATCCTCCCCTGAAGAACCAGAGCCTGGGAAGTGCTTTGTCCCGGATGACAGGAGCACTGGGCCAGCACTGTACTACCTGCTCCCACTGGATGGCCCCTTTATAACATCCAGCTTTTTTTTTTTTTTTTAATTTTATGTGTATGAGTATATCGCCTACATATGTGTTAAGTGCAGCCATGTCATGCAGTGCCCGTGGAGGTCAGAAGATGTCAGATCCCCTGGAACTGGATGTTAGCCTCATGTGGGTGCTAAGGAACTGAACCCTGGTCCTCTGTAAGAACAGTCAGTGCTTGTAACCGCTGAGCCCTCTCCAGCCTCAACATACAGCATTTATGTCCACTTTGGCCTCAGGCTTCTAGAAAGCCCAGTCGGACAAGGGTAGAAAACGGGAGCTCTCCACCTCTAGGCCAAGTCAACAAGTCATGGAAGTCTGCTGCTCCCATCAGCTCCTGGGGTACAGAGTGGACCTAAATCCTTATCCAAAGCCCCATCTTTTCTCCAGACCTGTTTTTCCTATTGTAAAAGCAGCCCTTCATCAAACTCCATGCTAGTACATGCAGCGGGGCTTTCAAGTCGTCCTGCCTCCTGGGCAGGCAAAATTCTCATTTTCTAACTGGAAAACAGGCTCTGAGGAGAGGCTGCTTTGTTGGGCAGATAGCTCCTCCCTAAGCTGTACTTATGAGCACTGCTCATCTGTGGCAGGGTAAGAGATTGAGCCCTGGTGCCCTGTCCTCTCCAGAGCCAGAGCCTGGCAATCCTTGGTGTTCAGAAGGCTATCATCTTCCTTTTAAAATGTCTGGGAGTTATTTTGTTGTTGTTGTTGGGGTTTTTGACACTGTTTCTTGTTATGTAACCTTCAGCTAAAATGTGGGGGTTTTTAAAGCAAGTTAATTCAGGACTAGAGTTATAGCTCACTGGTAGACTTGCCTAGCATTGGAGGTCTTGGATTGTATGGTCCATGGATGGGAAGAAATGAGCCTGGCTCCTGAAGGGCAGGCATCCTGGCCCTGCTGTGGCCTGTTTTCATGGTTCCCTGGTGGGTGGGAAGGCTGGGAGCTAACATCATGAGTCTCCTGCCACTGACCCTTGGAGCTGATGTCTGTTGCTCAAGAAGCTCATTTTTTTCCCCTCAGATAAAAAAGACAAGGAAAAGAAGAAGAAAGGAAAAAAGACCTCAGCCAAAGACCCTGACTCACCATTCCAGAAGAAAAAGAAGAAAAAGGTAGAGGGAGTTCTGAGAGGTTGCAGGCCTGAAAAGGGACACAAACCCTTCCCCTTTGGGCACCCAGACTGGTTCTGCCCAATTCCCATTCTCCAACTCTAAAAGGGAACCTTGTGAGGAATTGCTGGGGAGGGCTATAGGAGTAGCCCTGTCTTATCTGTGAGGTAGATGTGGGGGGATGAGAGGAGAGATGCCCATGGGCAGGAAACTGGGTAGTCTGTGGCCAGCTTCCAGGTGAAAGGCAGAGGTGGATCCGACTAAGAACCTAGTCCACATGTCCTGATCAACAGGATGTCCCCACTGAAGAAACAACTATCTACTTCATGGGGTCAGAAGCCACTGCCCTAAATGGACTGTAACCCAGGGCTGGTGCCATAGAAAAGCCTAGCAGCTGGTGCTGCAGAGGCCTAGCTCCTTGGAGGGCCCATGAGATGTCAATCTCTGCCCCCCAGGAAGCCCTGTGGGCATGGCCTCTACTGTAGGGGAGCCTTAGTTCTTGGCAGGTAAGACAACAGTGGTGAGGAGAACCCATAAGGCTGAGAGCCTGTTGCACTTCTCTCCACAGAAGAAGACCACTGAACCAGTCCTGTGAAAGCCAAGCACATAGCACAGGTACTTGACTGTTCCTGACCTTTCTGGACAGCTAGGTAGGCCCAAGGGAGGAATACTGGAGAGATTCCCTTCCCCGGGGTTGGTGGGACTGGGTGGGGGCAGCTGCAGCAGCCAAAGGTTTTGCCACTGAGCAAGTTGGGTAGCTAGCCAGTGCCCTTCCCTGGCCACAGGGTTTGTTCTGTGTGGTAGAGAAAAAGTTGAGGAAATGTGACCAAAGTCTGGTTTGTTTCCTTCCCTAGAGACTTCTTAACAAAATGGTGACCATCCCCAGGCCTCTGACCTCTGCCCATTGTGGGTTGGGACTGGACTTTCAACTTTACCTCCCTCCACAAAAGAAGATGGCTGTCCCCAGGGTTTGCTGCTGGCCAAGCCACTGCAGGGGGGGCAGTCCCAGAACACATCCCTGGGTGCTTCATATAAATGTGTACAGTATATATATTTTTTTAAGTGACCTGCCTCTTCTCGCTTCAAATCCAACCTGCCCAAAAGTCTCAGGACCTCTGCCCATGTTGTGCCGCAGACCCAGCAAGGCCTACTTGTGGCTCATCATGAGGCTTTGTCCTATCAGTTTTCCCAGCCAAGTTTTGGATTTTTTTTTGTAAGAACCCAAAATAAAAGACTTATGATTAAAAGTAAAGGTTTGAGTACATATAGGGTACATGCTGTTACCACTTAGTATAAACAGTGGTGACCTGAAGATGAGCAGGCCAGCACTCAGGGTTCCTTTGTAACTAACCCTGGAGTGCTGAGAGTGGGACTGTTTGCCACAGAAGAGCCTCAGCAAAGCTCTCTGAGGGCTGGTGTAGAGAGGGCTTCCAGGCTTGAGGGGGGCAGAAGGTGGGTCACATGCCACAACAGACTGCACAGTGATCGAGGGGCCTTGGTGATCTTAGAGTTCAAGCAGCATGGAGGAAGCTCTTGAGGGAGGTGGTGGAAAACAGCTGTGGCCCACATGGGAGGAGCAGAACCGGTGAGCTGTAGGGCATGGGTTGCCCTCAGAACCAGGGAGTAGTGTGCAAGTGAAAGCAAGAAGTGGGCTGGACCAGATGTGGTGGTGTACGCCTTTAATCCCAGCACTTGGGAAGCAGAGGCAGGTGGATTTTGTGAGACTTTGTGAGATCTAGTATGTGTTGGAGACATTGGCTGATGTAGACTGAGGGTAAGGAGGCGTGGCATTGATACCAGAAAAAGAATGGGCTGGAGGTCTTGGGGATCCTGAACTCGGGCACCTTGGGACACACACACCACAGCCCACCCCTCTCTACAAGTTGTCTTGGTCTAGATCAGTCCAGAGCAGTGTCCTCATTGGGCTGTGCTGACCCACAGAAGCCTTTAAACTTAAGAATGGAGCAATACCACTAATGCTCTTTTCAGGCTCCTGGGTGGTAGAAATGGCACCTGGCAGCCGGGACCTGCCCCCTCTCCTAGCAACAACCAGCTGGGGCTGAGTAGCTATGGGTCCTGCATGGGCACCAGCAGGCAGCAGCCCCCACTCCCTGTCCATTTCTGACACTGAGGCCCTGTGTCCGTTGCCATCTGTCATCACACTCATGCTGTTCTTCGTACAGAAATGGAATTGGGGACATGGGAGATGGAAGCTGGGACATGACGCGCTGTGCTTTCAAAACTAGGCAAGAGCCTTTTTTCTTGGAAGAGTATTTGCATATTAAACAGGTGCCAAGTATAGAGCCCATCACCCTGGTGCCACAGGCGTGCATTCTCACACCTGAGCAACTGGATTTAGGGTCTCCATTGACCCCCTTAAAGTGAACTAAGTAGATCCTAACAGAAGAGCCAGGAGCAAGAGTGTTCCACTTACTACCTTTTATTCTCACGCAAAACAGGGCCCTAAGGGCTGCTGACAAGCTTGGCCTAGCAGAGGACCTGGGGGTTGACAGGAAGTAAGTAAGGGTTACTCAGGAGGGACTGAGTTCTTGAGAGGACAGCAAATGTGTCCAGTCTAGGGTTTTTTTCTCTTTTTTTGGGGGGGAGGTGGTTCTTCCTGACCATGGGCCTAGATCTCAGAGCCCCATGTTGGAGACTGCTATGTCAGAAATGGGAGTTGGTTCGCCTAACTTTAGCCCACTCTGGGCTTTGTGTCCCTTTAGATAGGAGTGGGCAGCAGAGCCTTTTGGTATCATCACACCCATGCTGTTCTGGTTTTATCAGTCACGTCCAGGGACAATGAAGAAGCAGACGCCAGTCTCACCAGTCCTGTGATGGAAGTTAAGACGCAGGGAGGGAGACAGGATGTGGACTGGGACGTCAAGGAGCGGGAAAGGGCTGAGGAGGCGCAGGGGTGCAGGAAAGCTGCAGCTGTGCAGAGCAGACTGGGTAATGGAGATGCTTCTGTGTCCTCACATGATAACTGGGAAGAGAAGCAGCAGGTTGAGGTTGAGGTCACATGTTTGTTGTCCCTGCCTCACAGCATCTTGGGACTGCAGAGCAGTCAAGGACCCTCCACTGCCCTCTGCTGGGCTCAAGTACTGTCACCAGCCACCAATCCACCTGAAATAACCATCCCAGGGATGGTAGAAAATGGCAGTCATGCTGTGCCACTGGGAGGTTCAGGGAGGGGACCCGTCCATGGGGCTCTTACCTGGGCTCACATCCTGCTTGGTCACACCCAGCCCAGAAGACAAGTCCTCCATGTCTAGTGGCTCTGCAAGGGAAGCAGCGGGTTCAGCTGTTAGTCTCATCCATCCCTGGGGGCATCCTTCCCAACCAGGTGTGACCTTGAGCCCAGCAAAAGAGGCACCACAGTGCACAAGTGTGGTTGTGGGGTAGAGAAGGGATGGCACAGTGAGATGGGGGGTCTGTGGGATGCCTGTGAAGTACAGCACATGGAGAATGTGAGTGTGAGAGGAGAGAAAGCATAGAGGGACAGATAGGAGGGATGGATGGATGGATGGATGGATGGATGGATGGATGGATGGATGGATGGATGGATGGATGGATGGGGAGCCTGATGCATGACTTGACAGTGGCTGTCCCCGGGGCACAACCAACTCCAGTGTCCTGGCCCCATGTACACTGGGAGGGACCTTGGGACCTTCAGCTTTCCTAGTTTTTTCCTAGTCCTTTAGACTGCTGGCATGGTGGCCCCTGCTTACCACTGCAATTTTGGCGCCCTCGGCTCTTGGTGTGAGGAACCTCAGTGCCGTTGGGGAACACGCACCAGCAGTAGCCAGTGCTCCCGTGGCACTGGAGTGGCATATAGTTACCGTTCTCATCGCACTTGGGACGGAACGCACCCGGATGGACGTCGGGGATGTGGCTGACCTCCTCCTGGCACTTTGTCAGTGCTGAAGCGACAGGCATGATGAAGACAGTGAATGTGGGCTCTGGACCAGTATCTCAGCAGAGCAGAGACCCACACACCACTGCCATGGGCCTAAATGCCTCTGCTCTAGTAACTTTCCTCATTCTACCCATAACACAGTTGGGAAAACTGAGGCCTGAGACTTAAACCAGTAAGTTCCAAGATCAAAAAAGGAAGTGAATGACTGTGACTCATTCACCCCAGAACTTAGCAGTTACTTCTAGCACTCAGGTTATTCAGTTTGCCATTGTACCTGACATCCTGATTTCTGGAGGACAGCAGTCACTTTGAGGAGTCTGAACTTACTATTACTGGGAGAACACAAGTAGAAACTGGGGCTATCGTTTTTTGGGAGATGTTAAAGAGGGGGTTCAAATATCAGCTAGAAGTTGATTGAGTTAGCATGTATGTATCAAAGAAACAAGTCCTGGGCAGAAAGACCATTGGCTTTGCCCAAAACTACACAGCAGTTAGAGACAGCACCAAGATGAGGAGGAGGCATTCTGAAAGGCTTTAGGACTCAAGATCCTGGTATGCACTGTTGCTATGGTGAGATGGGAAATGTACTCACTGACTGTGGTCCCCCACCCCCTAACAAATTACAAGGCAGTACTGGGGAGGTGTCCTGCCAAGGACTCCTGCCTGGTGTGTTTCAGTTGGTTTTGTTTCAAGCCCAAGTGACAAGGAGCCTCTGTACTCTGTGGACACTTGTGAAAACACAGACCCACAGACAGGATGTTAGAGCTTCTGGGCCAAGAAGAAACAGGCAGGAAGAGATGGTAAGCAGAGAGGATGGGATCTGCCACAAACTTCATTCAAGAGTGCTGGAGGCTGGGGATGGAGAGAGGGCTCAGCCGTTAAGAGCACTGACTGCTTTTGCAGAGGATTGGAGTTCCCAGTATCCACATGGGGACTAACAACCATCTGTAACTCCAATTCAAGGAGACCTGATGCCCTCTTCTGGCCTCTGTGAGCACTGCACACATGTTGTGCGCTTACATGTAGGCAAAACAGTCATACACATAAAATAAAAATAGATCTAAAAATGTGAAAAGTGCTGGAGGCCCTAGCTTCAGCAGCTCCAGGGAGCCCTGGCACCCCAATGTTCCCAAGCCAGTACCTTTAGATGGAGCCTCAGTAGGCTTTTCATCCATGGTGTTCTTGCTCATTTCAAACAAGAGCCACTGCTTCATCCAGCTCTCAAAGATCTAATAAGGATAGAGGCAGGCAGGTAGGGTCAGGAGCCATCACCAAGCCCTACCCTGCTGGACTTTACCCTGGTAACAAACTTGGGGGACCAAGCAGGCACAATACCTGGAGTCCAGGTGCTGCCTGGGTCCCTCTTAAAGGCCCACAGGGTTTTGTGGGTGTTAATAAGCCCTCAGCTTCCAGAGTGGCTCCTGGCCCATCCCTCACCTCTTTCTAACCCTGAGACCATCCTATTGAAATGGGTTCCCACAGAGCAATCTGCTCACCTTCCAGTCCATGCCATCCATGCTGTTCTTAAGGTGCTTCAGGTTCTCTGGGAAAGTCCCCTTCATCTGAGGGTACCCCTTCAGGGGGTCAGACTTCTGCAGAGGGGCAGGGCAAGAGAAAGCTTACAAGAAGCTCCCTGATGGGCCAGGGGAAATGTACAGCCTATGTTCTCAGGTCTTCATTCACTCTGAGGAGTGAATGTCAGCTGCACCAAGCCTAGACCCCAGCCTCAGTGATGGAAGGGCAGAGTGAGGGTGCCCTCCGGCTATGCAGGGCCTGTCTGGGCCCAAGGTCCAGACCACCTCTACCAGCACCTCCAGTTTTCTCCCTACAGACATCTGCTCATTTTGAAAGCTCACCCCCAGGAAGACTTCCTCACCACCTCAAGCTAGACTGGGTCCTCTGCCTGTCCTCACAAAGCCACCTACCTGCACTTCCCTCATCATCTAGTCACCTGTCTGTCTGCCACAGTAGCCTGAGCTTCCCCATACCTGCAGAGCTGTGTTCAATCCCCTCACCTCACTGTAGACTAAGAGCTTTGCATAGTGCCTGGCACAGAGCAGACATGCAATGCAAACTTAGGAAGGAGAAAACGTGTCATAGGCAAGTCGCTTCCAAGATTTGGGCCTTAATTTTTTTCAACTCAAAAGTGGAGCAGCTGGCCTAGATGTAACATTCAAGAGCCACCCTGTGTTCCTTGGAACAAACATGTGCTGAATTTACAGTGAGCCTGACATGTGGACAAGGGCTGGGGTCCCATGTGGACCAGGAGCCTGCCCACTGGCTCTGACAACTCACCAGGAGCAGGTGCATCACATGATCCTGTGTCGTGTTGCCGTACTTGGTGGCATTCTGCACAGGCTGTGGAAAGGGGAATAGGGTTACCAGCACTGGTAGAGAAGAGAGGCCTACAGCTGGAGTCTAGTATGAAGAGTCAGGTCCATGCAACTCAGAGGCTCAGCTATGCCATCTCCAAATCTAAGAGTTCAAGCAAGTCACTCCCTGCCTCAGCATCCCCTTTGGTCAGGATGGCATGATGTTCCAAGGCTTTGCCAATAGCAGTTTTATGAATAAGAACATTATTGCTATCAAAGATTTGAGGAAGGGGAGGGGATCGTAGGAGGGTATGGAGGGTAAGGACTTGAAAACTGCAGGGCTCGCCCCACCCCATCAAGATGGCCCCCAAAACTCTAGCCCCCATCACCCTGGTGAGTTTCTGAGGTGGGCCCTGCACCTCCCTAGCAGTTAGGACCTTCCTTCCTGGTCAGCTATTCTCCCTTGCCCCTCCTGCCACCCTCCTTACCCCCTGGAGCATGTTGTCCATGGGGAGCGCCTGCATCAGCAAGGGAGTAGCCATCCGCATCTGGCTCACAGGCTTGGCTGCTGTAAGTCAGGAATGTGAGCATGAGCAGGGCCCAGGGAAGGGGCACCGAGGGGCTGAAATCTGAGGTCCAAAGGGAGAGGGCTGGGGGTGCTGGGTGCCAGCGTGGGGTGTCAGGGTGGAGGTGGAGCACGTACGCTTGGGAAGCTTCATGCGCAGATTTTCCAGCTGCAGATTCTGGGTGGTGACAGTCAGCTTGTCCAGTCGGCCCTGCTGCTGGTACAGGAAGTAGGCAGTGGTAGCCTGGCCAGCCAGGAGCAGAGCCACCAGGACAGAAAAACTGGTGTACAGGGCTCCACGGCTGCACCTGCAATGGGGAGTGGGGAGGTGAGAGCAGAATCCAGAACTGGATGCTGGCTGGGCATGAAGATAGATTTCCCTACGGACCCCCCGAGCCACATCCCTCAGACTTTCATCAAGCCTGCCCCACAAGCTGACCACTGCTCTTTCTTCCCAGGAAGAAATCCAGGAGCCACCCTGGGCTAGGTTCAATGGGAAGTTCTTTGCCCACTCTGGGCTTTTGGTGTCTCACCTGTGCAGTGACAGGGTAAAGTGGTGGCAGGATGGAGGAGGGGGGGAATCCCCACTTCCCTAGGTTCCCTTTCCCCTGGGGATCTCCTGAGGCTCAGAGCTGCTCTCAGGGGAAAAGGGCTTGGTTTTGTTGTTTTAGCTTTCTTAGTTGGTAGAAAAAGATAAGTGTGTTTACTACATAAGAAGAATGATTTTCATACCCCATGCCATCTTCCACACTGACAGTGAGATAAGGTTTAAAGAGAAAAGGGAAGGAAATGAGATGGGAACAGCAGAAAACATGCCTACCTGAAAAGGAGAAGTGGGGCCTTGACATCTTAAGAGTGGACTGAAGAGGAACACTGTCAGGCTGAAACAGGGCCAAACATCACTCCCTCCAGAGATTCAGCCTCTACCCCCAGATTCTCTGGGGGCATTTGAACAAAACCCCAGCGGTCTCTGAGCCTCTGTCATCTGCCACCTGGGTACTCCTCACTTTAGCAATTCTAGAACTTGGTTCACTCTGTGTGTATGTGCACACACATGTGCATGTGTGTATGGGTGCACATGTATGTGGAGGCCAGAGGTTGACTTTGGGTGTCTTCCTCAACTGTTCTCCACCTTATTTTTTTCACTGAACCTGGATCTCACCAACTCAGCTAGACTATCTAGCCAGCAAGCCCCTGGGATCCTACTGTCTCCATCTCCCCAGAGCCAGGTGATGCACACCACCATGCCTGGTTTTTACATGGGTATTAGGAATTTGAACTCAGATCCTCCTGTTCCATCACAGGCACTTTACCAACTGAGCTGCTCTCCAGTTCAATTTTCCTTTGAAACAAGATCTGACTATGAACATGGAAATATCTCATGGTGGTATCAACTGGGGAAATTCAACAGCAACATAGCTGCTTAGGGGCCGGGTAAATTTTTCATGCTCCTGGGTGGCCAGACAGACCATCAGACCTCAGTGGCCCCTTACAACTTCAGGCCTTGGATAAGGTTTCCAGGTGCATATACATGTTATAGCATGGAGCGTAAAAGGATCCTGACTCAGTACCCTGACAGTTCTTGTCTATTCTTACCCCACTGATCCCCACACACACACACCCTCAGAAGAAATACCAGGACCCTGCTGTGGTTTGCACGTTTCCTCCAAAATCCAGGTGTTGACAGTGTGATGGTGAATGGGATTAGGCACCCTCATAAGAAAGCTTAACAAAGGGAGTTGGTGTTCCACTGCCATGTAAATACAACACAGCAAGAAGACCGTCAATCAGATGCCAGCACCATGATCTTGAACTTCCCAGCCTCCAGAACTATGGGAAAGAAATCTGCTTTTTATAACTTACCCAGTCTGTGGTATTCTATTATAGCAACACAGACTAAGATACAGTCCGTTAGAAATCCTCAGGATGAGTTTGCATCCTGCCCACTCCAGCAACCAGCAAGGGTGATTTGGGAAACTCCAAAAGACCTGTCTGCCTAGTAACTTATGATGTCATAGACACAGTTCATTCTCATTGGCTCTCTGCTTGCCAGCCCTTTATTTTCTAGTCCAAGGCCTAGCCCAAGGGAGAGTTATTCTTGAAGAAAAAAGCAAAAAACTCTTTGCTGGGGAAGGGAGGAGACCACACATAAGGGGACAATAAATTCAACTTCTTGGCCTTTCAAAGGAAGATATGACCTGGGCTCAAGACGATGAAAAACTCACCAGCCTGGTCTCAAAGTCTCCTGCTTTACTAGCTACCTGGGTTACTCATGGCCTTGAGCCCCTTCAGTCTTCATACTCAGGTCTAGTCGAAGTCCACTTCCTGCCACATGAGCTTGGGAAATCCCCACCCCTCTCATTTCTGAATCTCAGTTTCTCAGAAGGCCAAAGAACTAAGCTTCGTACTGAAGATGAGAGCAGGGAGCCAGGGTTGGCATCCTGGCTCTGCTACTTGCCTAGCGCTGGGACCATGGGCAAGTCAACCCATCTGCATGAGTAAAATGGGTAGGTCTCTCAACTCAAAGAGTGTTAAACAAGACAAAGGTGGAACACTTGGCTCCACACCTAGCCTGTTTTAGGTCTCCACAAATAAATAAATAACAGTACTGTCCTCAAGAGAGCTAAAAGTCAACTGACTTCCTTACTCTTTTACCAAATTTATTTTAATTTTCTTCTTCTTCTTATTATTATTATTATTATCATTATTATTATTTTGGGGGGGTCTTTTTGAGACAGGGTCTCCCTGTAGCCCCAGCTGTCCTGGAACTCACTATGTAGACCAGGCTGGCCTTGATCACTATGTAGACCAGGCTGGCCTTGAACTCACAAAGATCTGCCTGCCTCTGCCTCCCAAGTGCTGGGATTAAAGGCGGGCGCCAC